CACCGCATCATTAAGCAACACTGAGTGTGTTACATTCATTTTACACCGATGAAGCCGGCAGTGTAAGATCATGTGAACACTTCAACGGTGTTCCTAAATCAGGGAAATGTCATAAAGTTAAAGCAAAACCCAAGATTCACGTTCCCCATTCTGCTTTTCCTTTTGTTCAGTCAGCTTATTTACTGCACACATATCGGTTTACATTTACATCGAGAGAGAGACTGGGAGAAAAAGTAGCTTGAGGCTACATAATTCCTATTTTTAAATCACCTGAAAACGGTGCAGCCTTCGAGAATGCAGCCTTTTGAAATGCAAATCAACATGTTTTACCGGTCCTCCTACATTTGACTGCTACAAAACTGTTAAAATAAGAATAAAAAAGCGCAGTGAAATGTTGTGCACAATATAATGCTGCGAGGGTGTAGATTTACCCCGATCGCTCCAAAAACACTGCAGAAAAGAGGACGAACACTGATTTAAGCGTCATCCTGCGTCGAGCGAGCGGAAGATACGGCCACCTTCAGCTCTTCAGTAGTACTTCACCTCTCTGGCCATAGCACAAGTCATTGAGAAACAGTAGTGATGTTGATTACATAATTGTGAACGATTTCCAGTAAGGGCACCAAGTCTAAAACGAACTGAAAACATCCCCGTAAAGGTGAACGGCCACAAAACTAACGTGAAAACATAAGTGAAGTAGTGCGTTCTCAGGATTTTCCCGAGAGAAAACTGTGGAACCAGGTGCTGGAAGACTGTGGTTTCTCCTCAGAGGATTCTGGGATAAGGAACTGGGATGATGTGACCGATGTAGGGCTGCCAAGCGAACCACTTAAGTTTTCCGCCTCCGGAGAATCCAGCTGCCAGGAACACTGGGGTTTATAGCCTGTATTCAAGGCGTCGTCTTCAAGGAACTCGCCTTCGGGTTCGTCTGGATCCGCGGCGGACTGCATCTGAGGCCGGTAACCTCCGCCGGCACACACACCCTGTGAAGAGCTCGGGCTCTGGATGCCGGTGTAGGTGACTTCAGTATGCGTGGAGCCCACGGAGGCGGTCGAGGAACCAGAGGAGTCTGAGAGTTGGTTACTGTGGGAGCCGTCACCGACAACCTGGTTGTAATATCTCAGGAGGGCCGGTTCGTCGGAGTCGGTGTCTACCTCGATGTTGTCGTTTTCAAACTCCTCCTCTTCCTCTGGTACCGGGACCAGACCCTTCTTACCGAAATCCCACTCTGGATCATCCACAATGTGGACCAGGCTGTGGGGAGAGGGCTTCACATCCAGAGGACCCTAAACACAAACAACAGCAACTTCAGGAATCTTTCATGTTCATAGCACAAAGTTATTAGCAATAGCAATAGTGATTCATATGGAAGCTTTTTTCCGCTACTGAATTAAAAAAAATAATAATAATAATTGCGACTTTATCTCAAAATTGCGTTATGAAGTCAGAATTGCGAGATATAAAGTCAGAATTGTGTGATATAAAGACAGAATTGTGTGATATAAAGACAGAATTGTGTGATATAAAGACAGAATTGTGTGATATAAAGTCAGAATTGTGTGATATAAAGTCAGAATTGCGTGATATAAAGTCAGAATTGTGTGATATAAAGACAGAATTGTGTGATATGAAGTCAGAATTGCGTGATATGAAGTCAGAATTGCGAGATATAAAGTCAGAATTGTGTGATATGAAGACAGAATTGTGTGATATAAAGTCAGAATTGTGTGATATAAAGTCAGAATTGTGTGATATGAAGACAGAATTGTGTGATATGAAGACAGAATTGCGAGATATAAAGTCAGAATTGAGTGATATAAAGTCAGAATTGAGTGATATATAAAGTCAGAATTGTGTGATATAAAGTCAGAATTGAGTGATATAAAGTCAGAATTGAGTGATATAAAGTCAGAATTGTGTGATATAAAGTCAGAATTGCGTGATATAAAGTCAGAATTGTGAGATATAAAGTCAGAATTGAGTGATATAAAGTCAGAATTGAGTGATATAAAGTCAGAATTGCGAGTTATAAAGTCAGAATTGAGTGATATAAAGTCAGAATTGTGAGATATAAAGTCAGAATTGCGTGATATAAAGTCAGAATTGCGAGTTATAAAGTCAGAATTGCGTGATATAAAGTCAGAATTGTGAGATATAAAGTCAGAATTGCGTGATATAAAGTCAGAATTGCGAGTTATAAAGTCAGAATTGCGTGATATAAAGTCAGAATTGCGTGATATAAAGTCAGAATTGCGAGTTATAAAGTCAGAATTGAGTGATATAAAGTCAGAATTGTGTGATATAAAGTCAGAATTGCGTGATATAAAGTCAGAATTGCGAGTTATAAAGTCAGAATTGCGTGATATAAAGTCAGAATTGCGTGATATAAAGTCAGAATTGCGAGTTATAAAGTCAGAATTGAGTGATATAAAGTCAGAATTGTGTGATATAAAGTCAGAATTGCGTGATATAAAGTCAGAATTGAGTGATATAAAGTCAGAATTGAGTGATATAAAGTCAGAATTGTGTGATATAAAGTCAGAATTGAGTGATATAAAGTCAGAATTGCGTGATATAAAGTCAGAATTGAGTGATATAAAGTCAGAATTGTGAGATATAAAGTCAGAATTGCGTGATATAAAGTCAGAATTGTGAGATATAAAGTCAGAATTGAGTGATATAAAGTCAGAATTGCGAGTTATAAAGTCAGAATTGCGAGATATAAAGTCAGAATTGCGAGATATAAAGTCAGAATTGCGTGATATAAAGTCAGAATTGTGAGATATAAAGTCAGAATTGTGTGATATAAAGTCAGAATTGCGAGATATAAAGTCAGAATTGCGTGATATAAAGTCAGAATTGTGAGATATAAAGTCAGAATTGTGAGATATAAAGTCAGAATTGCGTGATATAAAGTCAGAATTGAGTGATATAAAGTCAGAATTGTGAGATATAAAGTCAGAATTGAGTGATATAAAGTCAGAATTGTGAGATATAAAGTCAGAATTGCGTGATATAAAGTCAGAATTGAGTGATATAAAGTCAGAATTGCGAGATATAGTCAGAATTGCGAGATAAAGTCAGAATTGCGTGATATAAAGTCAGAATTGAGTGATATAAAGTCAGAATTGTGAGATATAAAGTCAGAATTGCGTGATATAAAGTCAGAATTGAGTGATATAAAGTCAGAATTGTGAGATATAAAGTCAGAATTGCGTGATATAAAGTCAGAATTGAGTGATATAAAGTCAGAATTGCGAGATATAGTCAGAATTGCGAGATAAAGTCAGAATTGCGTGATATAAAGTCAGAATTGAGTGATATAAAGTCAGAATTGCGTGATATAAAGTCAGAATTGAGTGATATAAAGTCAGAATTGTGAGATATAAAGTCAGAATTGCGTGATATAAAGTCAGAATTGAGTGATATAAAGTCAGAATTGTGAGATATAAAGTCAGAATTGCGTGATATAAAGTCAGAATTGAGTGATATAAAGTCAGAATTGAGTGATATAAAGTCAGAATTGCGTGATATGAAGTCAGAATTGTGAGATATAAAGTCAGAATTGCGTGATATAAAGTCAGAATTGAGTGATATAAAGTCAGAATTGAGTGATATAAAGTCAGAATTGCGTGATATGAAGTCAGAATTGTGAGATATAAAGTCAGAATTGTGTGATATAAAGTCAGAATTGCGTGATATAAAGTCAGAATTGAGTGATATAAAGTCAGAATTGCGAGATATAAAGTCAGAATTGTGAGATATAAAGTCAGAATTGCGTGATATAAAGTCAGAATTGTGAGATATAAAGTCAGAATTGAGTGATATAAAGTCAGAATTGCGAGTTATAAAGTCAGAATTGCGAGATATAAAGTCAGAATTGCGAGATATAAAGTCAGAATTGCGTGATATAAAGTCAGAATTGTGAGATATAAAGTCAGAATTGTGTGATATAAAGTCAGAATTGCGAGATATAAAGTCAGAATTGCGTGATATAAAGTCAGAATTGTGAGATATAAAGTCAGAATTGTGAGATATAAAGTCAGAATTGCGTGATATAAAGTCAGAATTGAGTGATATAAAGTCAGAATTGTGAGATATAAAGTCAGAATTGAGTGATATAAAGTCAGAATTGTGAGATATAAAGTCAGAATTGCGTGATATAAAGTCAGAATTGAGTGATATAAAGTCAGAATTGCGAGATATAGTCAGAATTGCGAGATAAAGTCAGAATTGCGTGATATAAAGTCAGAATTGAGTGATATAAAGTCAGAATTGTGAGATATAAAGTCAGAATTGCGTGATATAAAGTCAGAATTGAGTGATATAAAGTCAGAATTGTGAGATATAAAGTCAGAATTGCGTGATATAAAGTCAGAATTGAGTGATATAAAGTCAGAATTGCGAGATATAGTCAGAATTGCGAGATAAAGTCAGAATTGCGTGATATAAAGTCAGAATTGAGTGATATAAAGTCAGAATTGCGTGATATAAAGTCAGAATTGAGTGATATAAAGTCAGAATTGTGAGATATAAAGTCAGAATTGCGTGATATAAAGTCAGAATTGAGTGATATAAAGTCAGAATTGTGAGATATAAAGTCAGAATTGCGTGATATAAAGTCAGAATTGAGTGATATAAAGTCAGAATTGAGTGATATAAAGTCAGAATTGCGTGATATGAAGTCAGAATTGTGAGATATAAAGTCAGAATTGCGTGATATAAAGTCAGAATTGAGTGATATAAAGTCAGAATTGAGTGATATAAAGTCAGAATTGCGTGATATGAAGTCAGAATTGTGAGATATAAAGTCAGAATTGTGTGATATAAAGTCAGAATTGCGTGATATAAAGTCAGAATTGAGTGATATAAAGTCAGAATTGCGAGATATAAAGTCAGAATTGAGTGATATAAAGTCAGAATTGAGTGATATAAAGTCAGAATTGAGTGATATATAGTCAGAATTGTGTGATATAAAGTCAGAATTGCGTGATATAAAGTCAGAATTGCGTGATATGAAGTCAGAATTGCGAGATATAAAGTCAGAATTGTGTAATATAGTCACAATTCTGAGAAAAAAAGACAGAAGTGCGACTTTTTTTCTCACAATTGCGAGTTTACATCTCGCAATTCTGACTTTATAACACATAGTTGCGAGTTTATATGTCAAAATTCTGACATCTTTTCTCAGAATTGTGAGATATAAACTCGCAATTGCGAGTTATCAGGCCAATTCTAAGAAAAGAAAAAAAAAACGAAAATTTTCCCCCCTCAGAATAGTTTATATCTCACAATTCTGACTTTATATCATGCATTTCTGACTTATAACACGCAATTGCGACTTTATATCATGCAATTGTGACTTTATATCTCGCAATTCTGACTTTATAACACGTAATTCTGAGAAATAAAAGTCAGAATTGTGAGATGTAAACTCGCAATTGTGAGAAAAAAGTCAGAATTGTGAGATAAAAAAAGTCGCACTTCTTTCTTTTTTCTCAGAATTTCGACTTTATATCAAGCAATTCTGACATTATATCTCGCAATTCTGACATTATATCTCGCAATTCTGACTTTATATCTCGCAATTGTAAGAAAAAAAGTCAGAATTGTGAGATATGAACTCGCAATTGCGAGTTATCAGGCCAATTCTAAGAAAAAAAAAAAACTAAATTTTTCCCCCCTCAGAATAGTTTATATCTCACAATTCTGACTTTATATCATGCATTTCTGACTTATAACACACAATTGCGACTTTATATCTCGCAATTCTGGCTTTATAACACGCAATTGCAACTTTATATCACACAATTGTGACTTTATATCACGCAATTCTGAGGAATAAAGTCAGAATTGTGAGATAAAAAGTCGCAATTACCTTTTTTATTTTTCATTCTATGGCGGAAACAAGCTTCCATAGATTCATGCTAGAGCTGGATGATTATGGGGGAAATTGAGCATCACAATTTTTTGTTTCAAACAGAGATCACAAGTCGCTCACGTTTCTAAACAGACAACTAAACAAAATAACTTAGTAGAGGTTCTGATAAAATGGTTATTACTGCAGATTAAAATGTTTAATCAATCTGAATCAATGATTTAAAAATGATTTGAATGATTTAATGGCTCAAAAACACTTGACTAATCCAATAATGAAACAAGTGAACACATCTCTTAAATGATTGATTCAATGTCATACATTAAGTTTGACTGGTGTAATGATGTAATTGATACAATTGTTATTTGAAGCGTCAAGTAACTTTCAAAAGGTGCTACCGTAGACATCAGCGTTTCTATCCAAACTATAAACTTTTATCCCAGTACTTCTGTGATAATATGAATATTTGCAACACAGAAATCATGAAACTGTGGTTGCAAAGATTGTTTGTGAAGGGGTTTCACACCTATAGTGTACATGATAACTTCACTCTGGCTCGGTGAAACATAGATTTGAATGTTCTGGTGTGATTTTGTCAAAGGTTTAACAGACACTGCTGAATCATTGACATTTAAGAATGAGATTGCGTCCGTGTTTGAATCAAGATCACAATCTTTTAATGATTAATCGTGCAGCTGTAATTCCTGCCAAACAGCACTAAAAACGGTTTTACCTGTGTGGACGGCCAGTCTCCAGCTACTTTAGGTCCAGGAATTTCAGGATAGAAAGCTTTCTTTACCCTGGAATTAAATAAATAACACACAACCATTAACAAAACACGTTAATAATTGATTTACATCAGTGTTGTTTTCGTTAAAAACACACAAAAAATTACTAAAACCAACTAAAATTCAAATCAATGTACCAATTCATGCAATCTAAATACATATATACTGTATTAGTATATTAACATTACCAAAGTAACACCGATTGATCAGTAAGACTGAACGAACACCGTCTGTTGTAGCAAATATTAATGTACGTCAAAATGATTTAAGTGGATTTATGAAATGAAAAACACATGAATAAAGCCGTACCACTCTCTCTTCTTGTAGCAGCAGATGCTGATGAGGATGATACAGCAGAACATGGCTGCCAACGGCACAAGAATACCAACAAGCAGCATGTCGGTTGCTGGATGAACAGAGATAAGGAGAAGTTTAGGAAGTTTAGGAGAAGGACATAATCTTGTGTGTTATCTATCTGCAATATCTTAATTTAGTAGTTGTTCTATATAAGCAGTTAAAATATCCCAATAAATGCTGGCAATTAAGACTACAGATTAATGGCACAATCTCTGAATGAGCATCACAATGTCTTACTGTCCATCTCCATTTTAATGGCCACAGTCGACCCCATGTCCTCTCCAGCTGAAGTGTAGGCCTTCACTATGAACTTGTACGAGCTCAGAGGCAAACCCTTCACCCTGTATGAGCGCACCTCAGGGTCAGAGATGTTAGCTAGGAGCACAACCACATGAGACAAGTATAAAAATACATAACAAAAGATACAAATGTGTTATTTTTGTTATAAAATATTATAGACAGACTGTCAGTCCAAATACAGTTTGTGCATTACCATTTAGATTTAGCAAGTTTGAAAGGCAAAAACTTGAAATGTGATTTTTACAAATTTGTTAAGAGCTTTGGATAATGTAAAATAATTTGGATAATGTTTTAATTTAGAACAAGTGTTTTAGCAAACTTTCCATTGACCAGTTAGTCATTTTGCTTGCACTATAATGCATTAATAAAAGCATTTCTGCTCTTATCAGCTGATTTTATACTCACAAATGTGTGAAAGTGCTTACCCACGAGATCCAGAAGTGCGGCTTTTGCCAGGTAGATGGTGTATCCGCGAATGAAGCCTCGCTGGTGTTCCATCGCGGAGGCTTTCCAAGACAACAGCACATCCGAGCCAGTTTGATTGGCTGATAGTTCACCAACTGACTCTGCAGGAACTACAGACGATCGAACGAGAGAAGCAAAAAGATATCACACAAGTGAGCAACAATGTCTGTTTTTTTTTTAATTATCACCTAAGCAAATGGCTCTGTTAACTACATTACATGCTTTATTCTTATGTTTATTTGAATGGTAACAGCATGTATATTGTGCCATCATTTATGTTATTAATGTAAATTGCCATAGTTAGCACTACTACTGTACATGTGTTCCCTGTACAAGGAAAGTAAAAAAAGTTTTAAAATAAAATGTTAACACACAAACAGTCAAAAACGAAGCAATTCTAGACTGTGAGATTATGCATAAATCATTAGTTTCATGAGTGGTTTAAGTCATTTAAGACCACATGAAATCAAAGTTCTGTGGCTCTTCATTCATATCTATAAGCTTAGAGGACTTTGATAATGAAATGTAAGCTTACTTGACTTGCAAATACACATTTAAATTAGGGCTGTCAAATGGTTAATCGCGATTAATCGCATCCAAAATAAAAGTTTGTGTTAACATAATATATGTGTGTGCACTGTGTATAATTATTTTATATATATATATATATATATATATAAATACACACACATGCTTCTATATATTTAAGAAATATTTTCATGTATATAGATATATAATTTATATTATATATAAATAAGGGCTGAGCAACGATTAATCGCGATTAATCGCATCCAAAATATAAGTTTGTGTTTACATAATATATGTGTGTGTAGTTTGTATAATTATTTTGTATATATAAATACACACACATGCATGTATATATTTACGAAATATTTGCATGTATATATTTTATATATATTTATACATTATTCATATTAAGTATAAATATTTAAATATTTGAATAGAATTTAATAACACATTTTTCTTAAATATATACATGCATGTGTGTGTATTTATATACAAATAATTATACACACTACACACACATATGAAGAGTTCAGATGCAAAAGCCTCTAAATGCCATTTGAAATTTTCATCTTTAATGATGATTTTTATCAAACTTGTATATTTAAGTTCAGTAATTTCACTTAAATAACAATTAATAGGTAATTATCATTGCCATTTAAGTGAAATTACTGAACTTAAATATACAAGTTTGATAAAAATCATCATTAAAGAAGAAAATTTCAAATGGCATTTAGAGGCTTTTGCATCTGAACTCTTCATATATTATTTAAACACAAACTTTTATTTTGGATGCGATTAATCGTGATTAATCATAGCCCAGCCCTAATATAAATGAAGAGTTCAGATGCAAAAGCCTCTAAATGCCATTTGAAATTTTCTTCTTTAATGATGATTTTTATCAAACTTGTATATTTAAATTCAGTAATTTCACTTAAATAACAATTAATAGGTAATTATCATTGCCATTTAAGTGAAATCACTGAACTTAAATATACAAGCTTGATAAAAATTATCATTCTAGAAGAAAATTTCAAATGGCACTTAGAGGCTTTTGCATCTGAACTCTTCAAATATTTTATATATAAATAATATTTTTCTCTTAAATATACATGCATGTGTGTGTATTTATATATACAAAATAATTATACACAGTGCACCCACATATATTATGTAAACACAAACTTTTATTTTGGACGCGATTAATCACAATTAATCGTTTGACAGCCCTAATTTAAATACAAGCATCCACAAGGATGTCTATTTGAGTCCAACAAAAGTCTTTCTTAAATGTCATGTTCCTTCCGTATAAGCTATAAATATCTGGATTCCTCCAGATAAGCGACATATAGTATTCCCCAAACCTCAATTGTGGTTGGAATTTATTTGCTTTATACATTGAGTTTAATGCATGATACAACCTTAAAAGTGATTTTTCCAGGATCTATCATAAACTATATGAAAAGAATGGGGTGGGCCCCACCTTCCTGAAGGTAAACCTGTGCTTGTCAAACCATTGCATGGGTTATTTAACCCTTATGCTGCATTAGGGACATTTTTGGTCTTTTGCAGTTTAATTTCTTTGACCATTTTGGCTGTTTTAATGCAAATGGTATGAAATTTGGCAAAATTGTGACTTTTTGGATACATGTAAAAAATGTGATCCCATTTTGCAAAATATCTATAACACACACTGTGTAGATCAAATAGTAACACTCAGCACCATAAAGACCAAAAATGGCCCATTGAAACCCATTAAAACATTGTTTAAATCTGAGGCTGTCAGTAATACATGAAACATGATTTTTGCACAAACATCCTTTCATTTTGAAGCAAAAGCATTATATTTGCATTATATAGTGTATTCCACCAGATGACGTCACTACATATTTATTCCCTATGGGTGGAAATGCACCTTATTTTAGGCAATAGGCAATGTTTAATAGGTGGCCATTTTTGGTCTCTAACGTGCTAAGTGGGATTTTTTGCAAAGTGGGACTGTGATAATCCAAATCTAAAGTTTTCTCTTTGCATTTAGTTTATTGAAAATAATTGAATTTTTGTGTTTTTTCCTCTTATACAAATCGATGGTTTCGCAAACAAAACTGATAATTAAAGGGTTAAAATCCTGAAATTGAATACATTCATGGTAGTTATGATGAGGACTGATGCTGGTTAAAAGATTTAACTTGGTAAAAGTGGAAAATAATAATAATATATAATATTTTAGGCAATGTTTAATATGTGGCCATTTTTGGTCCTTAATGCACTCAACGGTGTTAAAAATCTAATGCAGCACAAGGGTTAAACTAGCGGTTAACCAAAAAATGACCAGATGCCAATTTTGGATCAGTAAAGCCAATTCACACAAACTTCCCATAAAATTGGTGAATTAACATTTCCAGTAATGGCGTGAATACGCTATTCACACAAGCACCGGCTGTCTGCCTTCTACATAAATGACATAATGCTGCCATTCACATGCCTGCGCAACAGTTAAATGATTTGCCAACATTTTATCAACAAGTCACACAGGACTTCTGAGTGGAAAACTGTTGTAGAATTCATGGGCAAAGGCTGTATGTGTGAAAGCACTCTATGAGCGGTGAAAAGCAATGGCTCTCTTACTCATTTCCTGCGAGTATCCCTGCCATCTCTGCAGCAGCGTAGCAGCGCCGGCTGAGAGAACATACACAGATACGGTGTACCTCACTCCTTCCTCTAGAGACTCTGAAATCAGCAGAGACTCGTCAATCAACCAGGCGCTTGGAAAAACATTCAGTTGTGATGTAAACAAAGCATGAAGAAGTTATAATTCCAGTAAATTTTCCACAGTGTACTGTTAAGTGGAAATTTACACCCTAAAAATGAATGCCATTGCATCAGAAATTACAAAATATCAAACCAACTGGCATGTAATGTATGTGAGAATTATCTCACAGTTTCTGATAAAGTTCAGCCTACTCGTGACTCTCCTGTTCGAACTCATTCATCAAAATGAACAAATCTTTTTCCGAGTCAACTCGTTCATTTCGTTCGTTGAATGAACCAACTGAAATGAAAAAAGATTCGTTCATTTTGATAGACGAGTTCGAACAGGAGAGTCAAGAACGTGCATCAGAACAGAGCAAGGCGACCATTTGAGCTTATAAAACTTAAAGTTATTTTTTTTTAAATGAGCGATCGTTTCGCTTGATAAGACCCTTATTCATCGTCTGAAACTGTCTTTTGGACTTTGAACCGTTTGGTTACCAGTAAAGTGCATTAAATGGCGAAAAATCCTAGAATGTAGGGGTGGGCGATATGGAAAAAAATATCATATCACGATTTTTTTAAGAAAATCACGATCACGATTTTTTATCACGATTCTTTTTCAAGTTGGTTTTAATATTTTACAAGTGGCTCTTCATTACAGCCAAACTAATGTTAAAAACAAAGCCTTAGGTAACAAAATAAAAAAGAAAGGCATACATTTAGGCCAGTGGCGAAGATAAAAATCTTTGTAAGACAAGTAAGATAAAATAAGACAAGATAAACATTACACAAATTGAATATTCAAATTAAATAAATAGTGCTTTATTTGTCAGATGCACTAGGTGTATTTAGCAGTTAAACAGAACTGAACTGATAGAATGCACGATACTACGATATTTCTTCAAAAGCAGATCGTGGAGACATTTTAATCGTCCACGATTAAAAATTGTCATATCGCACACCCCTACTAGAATGTTTTCCTCAAATAAAATTAATTTATTTTCGACTGAAGAAAGAAAAACATGGACATCTTGGATGACATGGGGGTGAGTAAATTATAAGCAAAGGTTTTCTTTAAAGTGAACTACTCCTTTAATGTGATGAACACTAAACTTTGTGAACAAGAGAAGAACTGACTTCATATATCCACTAAAAATCCCCCAAAACAGCTGTTTCAAAGACATTGAGTCAGTGAAGAGAAAAGATCCTACAGCATTTGAGAGCAGATGGTTTGGTATTTTATTATCTAACGCAATGGAATGTCCAAATACGTTTAGGGGTCACTGTGTTTACTAAAAGAACAGGAAATTAAAAAGAAAACGTCAATAGATAAGTCACTTGTAGATTCATTTAAAGGACTCACCTGGCTTCACAGTGAAGCTGCTGTCTGATTCTGGAACTTTCTCCCAGTTAACAGGGCACAGGCCACGGCAGCCGGTCGGGACCCACTCCACCACGTACCCTGTGCTGGCGTTGGCATTAGGCTGCCAGGAGAGCTCAAACATCCCATTTGTGCCAAGCAGCTGAGACACAGACAGCTGGGAATCTACAGGACAAATGACCAAATATAAAAAACATCTAGTTTAACACTAGCTTGTTATAGCTGTCAATGGATTAAAACATTTAATTGCATTATATAGTGCTGAAGTGCCACTCAGATAAGCGTAATTAATTAGAATTCATAGAATTCATAAAAATAAATATGTATATCGTAGCCACTTACTAACAGTGTTGTGCAAGTTACTTCCAAACTGTAATAAATTAGGTATTACTTGTTACTGTTATTTAAAAGTAATTAATTACCTTACAATATTACTGTCTCAGAATTGTAATGCGTTACATTACACATGTATTACTTTTGAGTTACTTTCACCAAAATAACTAAGTAGAACTTAACTTTTGGGCTGTAACGATATGCAATATGAAACCGAAATCGCGATTCGCCACACGACTCAGATTTAACGAATCTACAGAATCGCGACACACCTCTTCCAACTCCAGCGTTATTCTCCTTACCGTCCAGATCCAATGCTGCCTTATCTTTAAATTAGGCTATTAGTATTATTTGAAGTTAATATTATAAAATACGTAGACCTACACCACAAAACTAGTTGAGGATAAATTATTTAAAATTGGGGAAGTCCAGCATTATGGACATGATGACATTTGCAGTCAAAACTTGAAATAAAAATTCTCAGAAAATACATGTATTGAAACGTATATAGGCTACTTCCTTAAAGGACTCCAGACATTAGACAAATATCAGTCTATGTTTTATTTTTAATATTAGTGAAAAGACACACATTCATGCGTGACAAAAAAATAGGAGGCAAAATATTTTTTTTGTAATTCTGTTAATTACACTGCGCAAATCGAAAAAGGAAGGGTTGGCTCTCCAGTCTCCATAGAACTTAAAATATTCATTTTATTTTAGTTTTCGTGTTCGCATTTATGAGGAAAAAACAATGTTACAGACGCGACCGCTCTGAACTGGCACTAAAAGACTGCTTTAAAACTTTCACATAGTCTCTTGCCTTTAAGAAGTAAAAGCAGACAATACACTGTAATACAACTGTAATACAAGCCTCACTGAACATGTAACGAGTAAAATATTACTGAAAATTGATTAGTAATGCCTTACACTACTGCGTTACAGCAAAAAGTAATATGTTACTGTAATGTATTACTTTTGTAATGCGTTACTCCCAACACTGCTTACTAATACGTCAACATGCTTTACTAATTTGTTCCCTAAATCGTTCGCACAATAGAATAATTCATTCCCTTGAGTTACTTAATCATGGGCACATTGTAATCATTTGTTCCCTTGTTAAATCAAAACGGGGGAAAAGATTAATAAATCCTGGGAACAAATTCTTAATTCGTGGGCAAGATATATATATTTTTGTTCGCATGTCATGAGCTGGGGCTCCATAATTTTAAATTATTTTTATTTAATTTACACATAAAAGGCCTTTTTGGGGATATTTTTCACACAGAATAGACTGAACCCTTTTTAATGTCAAACTAGCCATCTTAAATGTTTTTAAAATATAAAAAAAATAATATAAAAAAGGGGTATATATATATATATATATACTGTGTATTTGACTACAGTTTTTTAGAAGGTATGGTAAAATGATGCACAAAACATTTGAATCATCTACTAGCTGAGGAAAAGTCCCAGACTTCCTCTACCTGCTCTGTATGCTGGTGTGGTCACAGTGGAAGGCTGAGAGAGACCAGCTGGGTTTTGTGCTGCCACGGCAACGGTGATGTCACTGCTGTTGTTAAGGATGATGGGATAGCTCAATCTCTCAAGAGGAAGAAAAACCGGTGTCAACCCGTCTTCCTGTGCTGAGCTCTGAGAAACCTTGTAGCCGACTAATGCACCGTGACTTTTCCTCACGGACAGCGGCTGAATGGAAAGAGGCAGATGGCGCCATGTTTACTTCTTAGAACAAGAACACATTTTTTTCGGTTTTATGACATAAGCTGCGTTTCATATTCTAGATTTTTTCCTACTTTCCAGAAAACACGTCCTGTGTCACTGCTGTCCATCCAGAGCCAGACATCAAGAGCATCAGGACCTGAAAATGAACAGACTTTGTTATAGATCTATAGAAACTTAATATATTGCATAAAAAACAAATATATAAGGACAAACAGGGTAAACAATTAGGAAATGACACCGTGTTTTAGAGCATAATATATCTGACCTGTCATATGCGGCAACTAAGAAACAGACAAAGTAGACTATATAATTTCAGATTTATTATTTAATTTCTGCAAGTTATTTTAATCACTCACGGTCCATTTTTGTGTGTATGCTGTAGGGGGCGCTCTCATCCCCCCACTTCCAGAAAGCGTTCTTAGAGCCGCAGCGCACAGTCACAGTGTAGTCCACATCTGGCCACAAGCCCTCCAGCATCACAGATGACAAACCTGTGCCACTGTAGATACGCTATAGACAGAGAGAAATATCAGCCCATCAATTCGAAAAAATAAATAAATATATATATATGAAGAGTTCAGATGCAAAAGCCTCTAAATGCCATTTGAAATTTTCTTCTTTAATGATGATTTTTATCAAGCTTGTATATTTAAGTTCAGTAATTTCACTTAAATAACGATTAATAGGTAAGTATCATTGCCATTTAAGTGAAATTACTGAACTTAAATATACAAGCTTGATAAAAACCATCATTAAAGAAGAAAATTTCAAATGGCATTTAGAGGCTTTTGCATCTGAACTCTTCATATATAGTCCTAGATGATTGGTTAAACTGATTTAAAAAACATTATTGCCAAGGTGGCTTGAGTAATAGTTTAAAGTGTGCATCAAAAATAAATACAAATGATGTATCGAAAACAGGGTTAAAAAGAGAACGGGTAAGTAACCCAAAATCATTCTGATATCATTTACTCTGCTTTTTTGCAGAAAATATATTGACAAGCATAATTAATGATAACAATATGCACCATAAACATTTCCTGAAGCCATACAATAGGTTTATGTGAGGAACTAAATTGAAGTCATTATTCACAGACAACACTGTTCATTAAAAAATGCACATGCGCAAATTAAATTTGGTAAATGATTAAAACTTTAAAGCTATTGTATGACTTTAGGCCGACTTGTATTAGCACACAAGTTAAACGGACTACTTTAACCGTGTTTTATTGTATTTTTTAGCTTTTTTAAGGACAAGCATTATGCACTTCACATTTTTGTTTTGTCTTGTTTAGTCATCATTTTCTCAACATCTTGACATAAAAACTGTGTTTTTTTTCTTGAGTAAATGATGTCAGAATTTACATTTTGGGGTAAACTATCTTTTTTTGGAAATAGGCTCATTTTACCACTCCCCCAGAGTTCAACAGTTGGGTTTTACCGTTTACGAATGTATTCAGCCGATTTTTTGATATTTAGAAGAATATCAGTAACCAAACAGTTTCTGGTCTTCATTGACTTCCATAGTATAGTATATTTTTTTCCTACTGTGGAAGTCAATGAGACCAGAAACTGTCTGGTTACTGATATTCTTCTAAATATCAGAAAATCGGCTGAATGGATTAGAAAACGGTAAAACTCGACTGTTTAACTCTGGGGGAGTGAAAAAATGAGTCTATTTCCAAAAAAAGTGGAGTATCCCTTTAACTCCCAAGACCACACAAAAATCAAGCAGGGTTCGGGGAGCTGAAATCTGAGCAGTGAACTTACTGCGCTGGAAAGTTCATGGCCGATGAGCTTCAGCTGGCAAATCAGCTCCAGCTTTTTATACGCCGCCACAGGCCAGCTCCACTGCAGTGTGGCGTTCCACGCCTCGACTTCAACCGCCGTCACATTTGCTGGAGCCAACAGATGTACTGGAAGAGAGACAACACCGTCAGAGAAGAGTTCTCACCCATGCGAATATTAAGACACAGTCGCTCGGACTCTATTTATAATGTAGATGTTCTCGATTAAAAGGCAACGTATTGAAAATGTGGTACCGCGGTCGGTGAGTTGGGCAGAGTCAGTAAGCTGAACTGTTCCAAGAAGATTTCGAGCCACCAGAGTCCAGTTCTCCTCCCAGACCTTCCAGCTACACAACCAGGTCTTCCCTTCATTAGCCTCCAAACAGTCCCTGCGGACAGAAACATGGCTTATGTTTAATGCCGAGAACATTAATGGAATTCTTGAAACAGCAGTAATTATGTTAATGATAATAAAAAGCTGAAAAAAATCAGCATATTAGAATAATTTCTGAAGGATCATGTGACACTGAAGACTGGGGTAAAATGATAACAATAACAATAATTTTAAATTTATTTTTTTCTGTATTTTAAATGCAGCCTTGGTGAGCAGAAAAGACTTCTCATAAACTGTGTATGTAACATTAACGCAAATAATTATTAGAATTATGAAATAATATATATTTATAAATATTCATATGTAATATAGGCTACACATCAGACAAGAACTAATAAATTAGCAGTAGAAATATCCATGACATAAGTATGCGTTTCCATCTCATTTAATGTGGTTTGCTGTTTGGTGATCTTTTTATGTACCAAGGACATTACGGTCCCGAGCGCCAAATGCTATAGTGTGGTCAGTGGTTCTTGTGTAGTGCGTCTCTTGCCTTCCATTAAGGGTGTAGTTAGTGCGGTTGATCTTTCTTTTTAAGTGAGTGTCTCGTCCTTTCTTCCAAGAACATTCTGCGGATGCCAGGTCCCGCGTCTCGCAGACCAACCCCTCATCGCCTGGCGGATCTGCAGCAATTACATACAACAAAAGCCACATGCAAGTCACTCTTTAACACTGCACAGCAATCAACAAGCCATTACGCTAAAAATGAACACTTAAATCTCCCTGCATTTCACAGTCGTGGATATATTTACTGAGTTTATACAGTATATCATAATGTTTTGGCAAACCATTTATTAAGATAAATATCTAGGTGGAAAAAACTACAGCCATGGTCAACCATATAGCCTTTTACATAAAAACTACATATTTTCTATATAAAACTTAAAAAAAAAAAACATTCCTTTTTTTATTTAATTATATTATTTAAAAAAAATTGAAGAAAGAATCCTTAAAAAAAAAATTATATTTTAAAATATTTTTAATAGAAAACTGATTTCAAATTATTAATATTCCAGTATGTTTGATCCAAATAATGCAGCTTTGGAGAGCATAAGAGACTTATTTCAAAAACATTAACCCTAACATAAACTTTTGAATGGCATGTATGATTTTATTAGTGCTGTCAAACGATTAAAATATTTAATCGCGATTAATCGCATTAATGTCGTAGTTGACTCGCAATTAATCGCACATATTTATCTATTCTAAATGTCTCTTGATTTCTTTTTGTCCCATTATTTTTTCTCATTTTAATGCTCTTATCAACATGGAAAAGTGGATCGGCTGCTTTGTGAAAATATTTTTTATTGAAGACAACATTGACATATACTGTGTTGAATTTCACAATATCATTCTCACTTGGAGCAAATAATCACTCAATGTAACACTGTCCATCAATTAAAGGGTGAAAGAAATACTGACGAGGTCCTGATATCGACGAGGGGGCGGACAAGTCGCATTAGCTGTGTGTGTGTGTGTGTGTGTGTGCTTGTCAATCAAGTGATATTTCAGACTGGACATGCTGCGATGATGATAGCTCAGTTCACAACGACAAAACACACAGATGACGTAGGCCTTGTCAATTGCAACTTTTTAGTAAAGTTTCCATTGAGAATCTTATTAGCATCCATTTCAGCGTCTCACACTCGTCATTCACTTAAAACGTAACGTTAACCAACTATTTGACCGGCTCACAAGCCCAAACAAGTGAGTGCGTCGTGCCTGTTGTTTTGTTTCCGGTCTAGCTAGATCACTTGCGCTTTGGTCGACGAAGCAACAAAACATCCTCACGCGGCACAAGCCATTAAAATGAATGGGTTTCATAGTGCCGCATCCTGTTTCATAAGCATATGGAAAAAAAAAAAAAAGACTGTTGGCCAAAAAGACGATAAAAAAATGTACGGGTTTAACTGACAGCCCTAATAATTATAAATATTTAATACACATTTCTTAATTATTTCTTAAATAACAATGAATTATACTCACAGCCTACAAACACTACAGCTCCTGTGAGGGTGAACATTGGGGAACAGCAGACCACGTTTGTGCCCGTGTTGGCAGATGCTGGCTGGTTGGTTACGGTGATGGCGTAAGTTCTTCTGCTCAGACGTGTGGCGCTCATCTTCTGACCCTTGTACAATATTTCTTTGAAATCGGACTTCTCCTTGACAATACAGCAGAAGGTCGTATTACTGCCCACAGGAACCACCTTATCCTGGGGATACATGTAAGACTCGGACTTCTCAGGAATATCCGACCCTAGAGACACAAGGACGGGGGTAAATGGTTTAAATAACAACTTTTGTGTATACTAGTGCATCCAAAGAGGAACATCAAAACAGAAAATGTCCTTTTATAGCTTTCAAAACAGCTCCAAGAGCAGAAACAAAACTATCTGGTACAAAATTAGATCACTGCCATTATAATCAACAAATGTGTCCGTCTACATTTAAAAAGGCCGGTTCCTAAATTTGTCACACTGCAAAGCTACTCCAGCAACTTTATTTTCCATTTCTGTCAGAATAAATATCATATTTGTGAAATACTTAACACATAAAAGTTTAAATAACTTTTGACTGTCACAATAGAGTACAGCCCGACAGGCTGATACCGATACAAATATTTGTTGGTTTTAAAATCCGATATATCGGCCGATATTATTATTTATTTTTTTTATTTCAGAAACGCACAACAAAATATTAACAGATTTCCCTAACATTAGTTATTTGTAGTTAATTATGAGTTTTAACTAAAATAATATGATAATGCATAACTGGTTCTCTCTGCCCAACTCTGGCTGGATCAGCAGGATGTGTGGCACATTATACACGAGTGTTGCCAACAGGGACGGTGTAGAGTGCCCCCTGGTGGACAAACTATACAACTCCAAACACTAATGACAGAGTGATTTGTCCATTTTTATTTTATTTTTGAAATATTCATTTATCAGTAGGGCTGGGTAATAAATATCGATTTCTCGATATTAATCGATTCTCATTTTTACAAACCGATATCGATTCTTAAATCTCAAGAATCGATTAGTCTTCCTGTTTCATTTGAATGAATGAGACATTGTATCGCGGCTGCGCGCATCCAACAAATCGCAATAATCTTTGTCCTTTGTTACTATTGATATGAAACAAAGTCTCAATTTTCAAATTACGTCCATTTTCTTTAGAAATTCAAAAACATAAATAGCGTTTTGCCGTTTTGGCGCTGTGGCGTGAGATCCAGAGAAGCAGCAGCGCTGATCTCTCTTCCGGGTTAATAATACCGGTCACAGCGCGAAATAAACATGAATGAGCATCTGAAAGTGTGTTAAAAGATCGAGTACAACTTATCTAAATCCGTATCATGTCACATTGATTCGCTCAATCTGCGTTTCAACCGTGGAAAGACGTCAATTAAACAGCTTGTAATCAATGTCATATATCGTCATATTTACCTCAGAAAACGTACATCAACTCGTTAGTCCACACTCGTTAGTGTTCTTCAATATTTAATGCATATTTGAATAAATCTGGCAAGTTTTTATGACAGCCACCATTTAAATGTTTATATTTCATATAATCTTATTATAAAAATAAATAAAAGTGTAATTTAAGTGTTTCTATAGCTACAAAACTAGTAGGCTACAACTAGACTATATATATATAGACCATAGTTTACAGCATTTAAGAGATTTGATTCCCTTGAGAAAAATTGCCATTTATTGTAACTGATATCCAAAATAATCGATATTGAATCGAATCGAATCGTAATCGAAATCGAATCGAATTGCAAGCTTGTGAATCGAAATCGAATCGAATTGTGAAATTTGTCTCAATACCCAGCCCTATTTATCAGCCATTATAACTGCCGATACCAATATTTTAGAAAATGCCAAATATCGGCCGATAATATCGGGCTGCCGATATATCGGTCTGGCTCTACAATAGAGCCACTGAATTAAATGACTTTGAATGCTGAAATAGGTCTTCAAAACAAAGCCCACAAAGTGCAGCACGTTTGTTTGTTCTTGTTTGTTGAGTTTTTCTCAGTACCTGGAATGGTCTGAAGGGGGCTCCACTGGCTGATCGACTGCTGGTTTCGTGCTCTGATTTGCACTGAATGAGAAGTGCACTCCAATGGTGACGGTGAGCGCCAGGTCCAGACGCGCAGTCCTGTCACAGGATCTGCTTTAACCGCCACCGTCTCCTACACATTAAAACAATGTAAATCACTGCATCTGCCAAATGCATTCATGTCAATTGCCTCTCAAATTTGACAGTTCATGCAATAGAGAATCGAACGGATGATTTAGGTGTTGAAAGCACCATTCTCTACATTAGGAAAGTGATGAAAGCAGTTTTGACCCCTTGACCTCAAAAAAAAACGTCAGCATTCGCAAATGAGTTTGTAATAAGTGATCTACTCCATTCAACTTTTGACAAGGGCATGTATGCTGAAGGTCAAATTCACTTTCCAAAAGCACCTCCAAATATCCCATAATGCTTCTTTACTAGATTTGGAAAAACATGCACTGATGAACTGCACTCAATAAGAAACACAAAAACACATAAATTCCGATTTCATGTTGACATGAATATTCGAAGGCATTTACATCACAATTATGGACAGGGTCTGTGGCATACCATCGATTACCACAGGAAGCCATTAAGACTCATCCCTCAGTTAAAAAGGATCAGTAATGCAATTACAACGAAAGGCCAGCAGATATTGTTTTCTGTGGTAATCAACATTGAGCCGATAGAGATGCATTTAGCCTTGATTATTGCTTTACGGGTCCAATCAATCCAAATAAGCAAAACATATTTTGCAATATAGACGGACTAACATTCCAAAACAAGTTAGACACGAATGTAATCCCTATCATTACATGTAGCTCTTAAAGTCACAGTGGGTGGTGACTCATAGGAGATGGGAAAACTGGTTTGAGTGTATTTGCATTTAATCGCGTTATTGAAATGAAGGTGGAACCGCATTGTGTCATAAAGACCTGGATGTTACACAAAAGACATGATGTTCCAGTAATGATTCCCAGTGCTTAATGGCTCACACCCAAATGCAAGGCAAGCATCAACCCTAAATAACTAAAACACGGATTAACGGCAGAGATGTAAGAGCGCTTACGTTTAGCACCACATTCATGAGCTCGGTGTGGAAAATCTCGACGTCGAAAAGCGATGAGTCACTTTGCCATGACAAAGAAAGGGTCTGTGCAGGTAAATCAGGCTGTAGTGTTAAACCATGGGGCACAGGAAGTCCACTCAGACCTGTAAAATAACACACAGAGAGAGAAGAAGAAATGACTTGGGCATTCATTTCAGTTGGTAAATCATATGAATTAAACCATCTATACACTGAGCAGTTTTTCTATAATCTATAATAACAGTACAATCAAGTTTCCACATTGATAAGAAATGTTTCTTGAGCAGCATATTAGAATGATTACTTAAGGATCATGTGACTGAAAAAAATGGGAGTAATGAAGTTTTGCTTCACAGGAGTAAATTACACAAACAGTTTTGGTAACACTTTATTTACATACAGTATATGTTACATGTACTTATCATAGTAATAACAGTAAATTATGCATAATTACATGCAATTAACCCTCAACCAAACCCTGATCCTACCCAGTAACCCTATAATAAGTACATGTAATTGCTTAATATTACTCAGTACTTAAATATATAATTACACTGTAACAATGACACCTTAAAGGGATACTCCACTTTTTTGGGAAATAGGCTCATTATACAACTCCCCCAGAGTTAAACAGTTGAGTTTTACTGTTTTTGAATGTATTCAGCCGATTTTCTGATATTTAGAAGAATATTAGTAACCAGACAGTTTCTGGTCTCATTGACTTCCATAGTATATTTTTTTCCTACTATGGAAGTCAATGAGACCAGAAACTGTCTGGTTACTGATATTTTTCTAAATACCAGAAAATCGGCTGAATGGATTGGAAAACGGTAAAACTCAACTGTTTAACTCTGGGGGAGTTGTATAATGAGCCTATTTCCAAAAAAAAAGTGGAGTATCCCTTTAAAATAAAGTGTAACCCAGTTTATTGAAGCTGTAAAATTGAATTTTGAATAAGATCATGACATTATATTACAGTCCTCAGAAATTTGAATGGACTAAAATGTATTGCTACATTTTATTGTAGTGTCAAAATCACACTCACACTAAATTTAACCAGGGTTACGACATGTTTTGTTGATGTCATGTAATCCGAGTTAAACCTGGGGTGTCGAGTTTTAAATCTCTAACATGTCCTGATCAGTCTGGCTAGGACTTTGATAACACTCACCGTTCTGCCCTCGAGAGCGTAAGACGCCGAGGCTCAGCAACAGAGCCAGAATCACCCAGCCCTGCATACTGACCGAACCAGCAATGCTTTACCGCTTACAGAAAGAGATGAACACAAGAACACAACCTACGACAAAACACACAGGACATAAATCAGAGGGTTAAACATAATAACAGAATAACAGCCCGCAATTGCGATACTGAAAAACCAACAGAAAAAAATAGGAAATCATACTGCATTTATGTTATAAGTCCAAATGACTGTTATTAGGTCTATATAATTTTATCAACCACAGTATAAGAATGATGTGTCTTTTATAACAAGCACTCTTGAGTCTTGACAATTTGTGAACGTTCAGTATTACCTTTCAATACCTATAGTAGGAGACCTCCAAAACTACATTTTTAACCTTTAAAATAGCAAAACCAGGGTACTTTAATAAAAAAATAAACATACCACAATTTAACTGTTTACTTTACACACACACACACACACACACACACACACACACATAAATCAGTAAAAAAGGCTGGAAAGATAAAACCCCTTAACAAACATGGGGAAGTACACACACACATTACGGATTACAGCAGTATACCACTTCTGGTTAGTATACACACGTTATATAATAGCATTTGGAATCATTTTTATACATGGTTTCTATTTTCAATATTCCATTATTTAAAAAAAAAAGATGCATCATTGCTACATGGATTAAATAAACATACTACAAAGCATTTAAAATATGAAACCAAAAAGAGTAATTGCATAATCACGATATTTATCAACAATATTAATAACATATTCTTCTGTTAATAATAAATTATGATTATTATTTTTTTTCCTTATCCTTTGGAATAGTTATACCCTAATATAATTATACAGCTTGATGCAATTTAAATCAGAATTAATCACACTATTCAATGTTTTGTCTTAAAGCAATAATACAAATTTATTTCTATATCTATTTATTCCCTGAAAATCCAGAATTTCCAGTCCTCGACTGCATAATAAATCATCAACAAAACATCAAACTGAGATTTAGGAATGCAAAAAAAACAGATTAAACAAGCCCTCTCTTGTGTAGACACATGTTCAGTCGTCTTAAATGGCATTCACACAGCCGTTCATTTGATAAGATGTCTGATCTCTCAGATTTGAGGACTGAGACAGAGAAAATGTGGCACAATATAGGTACGGATCATGAGCCTCTTATCAGCACTGGACATTCCTAAAGTGAATTCACGAGGGAGTAAATACAACATGCATCAGATTCCACAGATTAAATTAGCACAATGCTGCAGCTCCTACTTCACTCCTACCTCACTTAAATTAAAGAAATTTCTCGATCAAAGCTGTAAAAAGAAATCATGAATACAGAAACTAAATAACTAGATGTTTACAGTTTCACAAGAATGCTAGACGTTGTGATTGGCAGGGCACTGTTGTGCAATCAGGTCTTCTGAGCAGCTTTTAACACATTTCAATGTGGATTCAAGGTAGTTACAATACATCCTGGTCTAAAGCAAGTTTGAGGAATCATTTACATCTGCAGCACAAATGTTGCCGGATGAGTTACCGAACACACAAAAGCGTAATGCTTCAGGTAATGGACCACTGACTACCAAGCTAACATATTCAGCAACCCACACTGCTCAAGGTATTATTTAGATAAAAATTAGCTAAATGGATCATGAAAAAAACACATGGTGAAGTTGCAGCTTATTTGACAAGTCTGGCCATGGGCAACGATGCCAAACACAAGTTTAAACAAGCCTCCAAACTCTGCCCCTCCCGTAACTGAATCCCCAAACACCACCTCATACTGAAACTGAAGCCATTTCACATTTCCAGTAAACTAAAGCCTGAAAAAAAAAAACATTTTAAGTAGAAAAAGAAACAGTTCAGAATCCAAGAAAGAAGAAAATGTGCATTTTGTATTTGGCTATGCAAATAACCCTACAGTTTCTGCCAGAATAACCAATAAACATATTCTTGCCTCAGCAAAATATCTCAAACTTTAAGCAATAATGTAAGCAAACCCCTGAACCGAAGACTTTATTTACCTTCAGCATGTAACCAATCCTGCACTATATTCTAAACAATAGGACTCTGAAAGACAGACCCAATGCATGTATAGAGACCAGAATATCAGACAGATTTTCAGTCAGTATGCACCCTAGCAACCGCATAGCAACGCCCCGGTAACAACCCAGAGTCTTAAACTTATGCATAGATGTCTCAGCGTTTATGGACTGCTTGCTATATGTAAGCCATCCGCCATGCATTAATATCTATATCTGCAATAGACATTAGCAGATGGTTTTCACAGCATTTAGTTTTTCATTAAAGGAATAGTTCACTTTTGAAAATTTTGCTGATAATTTACTCAACCCCATGTCATCCAAGATGTCCATGTCTTTCTTTCTTCAGTCGAAAAGAAATTAAGGATTTTTCTCCATATAATGGACTTCAATGGGAACCAAACGGTTCAAGGTCCAAAAGACAGTTTCAGTGCAAACTGTTCAAAGGGATTTAAACGATTCCAGACGATGAATAAGGGTCTTATCTAGCGAAACGATCGCTCATTTAAAAAATAAATAACAAGTTTAAGTTTTATAAGCTCAAACGGTCGCCTTGCTTTGTGACTCTCCTATTTGAACTCGTTCATCAAAATTAACGAATCTTTTTCCGAGGCATTTGGTTCATTCAACAAACAAAACAAGGCGAGAACAGAACAAGGCGAGCATTTGAGCTTATAAAACTTATTTTTTTTTTTTTAAATGAGCGATCGTTTCGCTTGATAAGACCCTTATTCATCGTCTGAAATTGTTTAAAGCCCTTTGAACAGTTTGCACTGAAAGCGTCTTTTGGACCGCGAACCGTTTGGTTCCCATTGAAGTCCATTATATGGAGAAAAAATCCTGGAATGTTTTCATCAAAAACCTTAATTTCTTTTCGACTGAAGAAAGAAAGACCTGTACATTTTGGATGACATGGAGTAAATTAAAATTATCAGCATAATTCTGCAATTGTATGTTGCATATTGAGTTAAAAACAAACCAGCACATTCTCACTTCTGAAAGGTTATCCCATTTCATCTGGAATTTATAGCTTGGTTGTTTTTACAGTCATAAGCTGCACAATGCTATGACATTATCACTGAAAATGCATTTATTTGTTAGTTGAGACTCAAGATGGCGGTTTATTGTGGCATCTAGTACACAAGCATCATGCTCTCGAGGTTTGCATGTGCAAGCATCACTTACGTTTTTTTCATAAAACAGAAAAATCTTGTTTTGGGGGGGGAAACCTTGAATTAGACAAAACCCAAACATTCATTCAGACCAACTTGTTGTGAAAAAACAAAAAGGTAGTTTTCCATTTCCCTTCTAAGTTGCCATTTATTATGGCTAGAAGCACATCTAGGTTGCTTTCAATAAATAACAGATATCCGTTAGGAACAGGATTCTCAATATTGACTTCATATCAGGTCAGCGATCCATGTGCTGCAGGTTTACAGTAAAATAAAACATCACGGATGCGTTTGCAGACCTTGTTTGCGGTTTTGTTTGAGAGCTCACAATGGTCTTGCTGACAGATCTTTTTAATGTTCCAACGAGTGTGAACGGCCAGAGGGCAAAGAACAGGAAAACAGACACTGAGACAGGCTGGAAAACAAACCCATGGATCACTGCCAACCCGTTTCCTTGCATCACCAACATAAAGTCATGATTACTAGAAGTCATCTGAGATAACATGTTTACAGTCTTTGAAATATTACTGTATTTTTCATAGATTTATTTTTCGCTCTAATCATCCAAATATAACAGCCCACACATGCCCAGACCTCGGCAGGGCGCTGGAATCCAGTGTTTATGTTGGCAGCCTGTATTTTGGGTCTGCACAAAGTGTGTGAATCTCTAGTTACAGGCAATGGTCTATATGCACGCATAAGTTCCGCATTTGACGCAAGGATGCTCGTCCATTTCCGGTTGTGTAGATTAAAGCGGAGGAAAACCGGAGAAAACGGGATTATGGCAGAGTCTTCAATATTTACTGTCCTCCCGTCTTTGAAACGAAACGTACATACGTTTAGATGTAATTTTATATATAGTTATGTTTATTTAATATAATTTTAAAAAGAAGCATAAACACAACGAGGGGTGTCTGTTTTATCTGTTTTTGTGACTAACGTTTCATTAGTATAACCATGGAGTATACAATTCAATATAAATTCTCGCTATTGCATTGGACTCTACGATCGGCGGAAGTTATCGAGCATCCTTTCACCTTCACCGGAAATAACGCCGTGCATAGAGCCCATACTGTGAAACATACCTGCTACTCACAATTCCAGTCAAGCTACATTAAAAAAAGTAGTTAGTAGTGCAAAAGAAGTTACTAAAACAAGTATATTTAGGCAAATTAAATGGTCATATATTATACAACCATACTGTACATCTAACAATTCTGTAAACTTTGTACATTTTGTTAGTAACAAGTATAAGAGCCAATTTGAACACAAATGTGCACTAGTCAACTAAGGGTTAATTTCCATTAACTAAAAACAAGAAAAAAAGGTTAATTGAAATAAAGCTGGAATAAAATATAATAAAGCATTGGACATTTTTTTTTTTACCTTGGCAATTAAAGGTACAATATGCAGGATTTTTGCAGTAAAATATCCACAAACCACTAGGCCCCAATGTTATACATTTTATTTAGTTGATTACTTACAAAATCCCAAATGTTTCCAACTATTTTTAAATCGTTAGAAAATTGCGATTTTTAACCAAGGAAATGACGTCATATCCGCGTTACCCCCGGTTTCCGCCAGGTTTGACCTCGTACTGCAATAGTAACCATGGCGACAGATGTGGACAACTGGGTCGGTTATGCCTGTTATGCGTGCTCAACAGCGTGAGCGTCCCTAGCAGGGTTTTGTTCAAACGTTATGGACCATGGCAAGCAGACTTTGAGACAAAAAGAGGACTAAAACGAAGATCGACATCTTTCGAGATGCCGAGAGCTCCACGTCCGCGACTAACTTGAGTGTGGCAGGTTACTTAAGCAAACAGGTGAGCAAATCAATATAAAACTAATCAATGTTATATAGTTCAACATGATGAAAAGTTAGAATATGATCTGTATGTTAATCTAGCTTAGTCTCATACAGCCAACAAACAACCTAACTAACATTCAACACACTCAAATGTTATGTTTAGTGTGATAGTGAAACTCATTACCTCAAGTTTAATTAATCTAATAAACTAACCTGTGCGAGTAATTCAGCGTGTAGTTTGGTAGAATTAAAAGTCCTTATTCCTTTACATCCGCGGGACTCGTGTTGCGTGTGGCGCTGGTATACGTCTAGCAATCGCGCACTGCTTCATCCTACAGTCTTGTCAAAAAAACATCACTGTATTCACTCATCCATAAAAGATCCATCAGCTTGACGACAAGATCCATAATTCCGCTTAATACAGAATATACGTCATTAATATACGCCTTTGTTATTGTAAGAGGTTAGCGACCCCTGGTGGCGAAACAATCTTGCATATTGTACCTTTAACAGAAACGTTTATTAAACTTAAAGGGTTAGTTCACCCAAAAATGAAAATTAAGTCATTAATTACTCACCCCCATGCTGTACCAACCCCGTAAGACCTTCGTTCGTCTTCGGAACACAAATGAAGATATTTTTGATTAAATTTGAGAGCTGTATAACTACCACATTGGCTCCTGAGGGACTGCCTCTTGACGGCCCAGAAAGTCAATGAAGAAAATGTTTAAATATCCCAAGTGACTACCGTGGCTCAACTATATGTTTATCAAGCGACGCGAATACTTTTTGTGCGAAAAAACAAACAAAAATAACGAGTTTATTCGACTATTTCTTTTCTTCCTTGTAGGCCAGAACGAGACTTCCTTATAGATTTCCACGACGCATGCGCGAGAATTGCGATCTGAAGTAGTGTAAGCTGGCGTGAGCAGATCGCAAATCTCGCGCATGCGTCGTGGAAATCTAAGGAATTCTCGTTCTGGCCTACAAGGAAGAAAAGAAATAGTCGAATAAACTCGTTATTTTTGTTTGTTTTTTCGCACAAAAAGTATTCGCGTCGCTTGATAAACATATAGTTGAGCCACGGTAGTCACTTGGGATATTTAAACATTTTCTTCATTGACTTTCTGGGCCGTCAAGAGGCAGTCCCTTAGGAGCCTATGTGGTAGTTATACAGCTCTCAAATTTAATCAAAAATATCTTCATTTGTGTTCCGAAGACGAACGAAGGTCTTACGGGGTTGGTACAGCATGGGGGTGAGTAATTAATGACTTAATTTTCATTTTTGGGTGAACTAACCCTTTAAAAAAAGCTAATAAAAATGACTAAACCGAACTGAAAATAAAAAAGCTAAATCAATATATTAATAAAAGCTATAATAGTATATGCTATGATAAAATAACATTGGCACTAAATAGGCAACAACCAAACAATAAATAAATACTGGTTGTGCGACAAAAAAAAGAACAAATGAAATGCCATAAAATTTAAAAATATGTCTGCTTTAAAGCTGGTGGAAAAACGAGAAGGAGAATAATTTGCGACAGTTTCCATCAGTTTGCAAAAACTACAGAGTCTGATCTCAGATCATTCCTCTGGAATCCATGAAAGATCTGACAGAATTCTTCCGTGACATCATCATTTTCGTTTATTTTCTGCACCATGAATGGACACAAATTCCTCTCTTTCCCACCCAGCGCATTTACACATGCTGAGAACAATGACAATCTGTCCAGAGCAGAGTGCTCTAATGGCTTCCTTCCACTTATATCACACAAAACTACACTAAATGAGTCGCACTGATTCAGAAGACATCCAAACCTCTGGGGGAAGTTGCAGTTTCACAGTTTACCACATTTGACTTGGAACAGACACATTATAAGGGAGACCAGAGGCGTTTCATTAATGTAAATAAAGCTAAAAATATATATATATATAAATATTAGACGGAAAACAACGACTAACTGAAATAAAATGAATTGGAAATAAAGAAATAAATCACAAAAACTAGAATAAATAAATTAAAGCTAATACCAAAAAAATACAAAAGGACAAAAAACATGGCGAAAACGTAAAATATAAAAATAAAAGCTAAGACAAAATACTTATAAATACTATAAAAGTATATACATAATAGTCAAATAACAGTGAGGGTACGGCTATGCCATTAATCATAATTTATTTAGGCTCCCAATAATTACGCTCTAAAACAATGCTGGGTTGTTCCAACCCATCAAATATTAACAAAGCCGACTGGTGATTTACATTTTTTTTTAATTCAAGTTTTAAACCCACTGGTTGGGTTGAAAAATAACCCAGAATTTTTTTAGATTGTATGAAAACAAGATAAACGGGGTAAAATGATTGTTTCCGCTGGTGCACCTTCCTTTCCTTCACAGCGGTGCGCTTTCGTTCCTCCTTAAAAAGCCCAAACTTAACATCTAAATCCTCCAAATAAGTGTGTTGTAAAAAAAGGAGTCTACTGTTGCTAAACTGCAGGGCGTGTTTAACATAAAACAGCGCTGTTAAAACCAGATAAACCCGCAAAAGAGAGGCCCCCAGGAGGCGTTCTGTGTGTCAGTCAGAGATGAACACGGATAAGCTAATGTGCTTCACAAAGATGTCAGAATGCCTTTTTGGCAAGTACTCACAAGGGTGATGTCTAATATAAACTTACACAGATAAGGAAGAAAACATGTATGTTGGATCTGTTCATTAGCTCTTAAAGTGACAGTAGCCTAATAAACCTGCTGCAGTCTGTCTAATGATAATCAAACAACAAAAGACAAAGCAAAATCACTCACTGATCTGACTGATTAATGCAAGTAGCTTCAATCTATATTAATGTGTACAGTAAGTTTATAAGTGGTTTTACATTTGACTATTCAATGTTTTTATAAGCTTACAGAATACAGAATATCTGAATACCACTGTTTAAAACTATTTAATTTGTATTTTTGTTTTGTTGTGCTTATATATCCATTTTGTTTGTCTTGTGTAATAATTTTGAGGACCTTTATTACATATTAACCCAGTATTATTTTTTCGTATTTAAGTTTCGATAATTGTGAAATTTCACTGATATTTAAGATTACTCATATCGTGAAAAGGGGCTTTGAACATATCACTAACCAATAATCATGTTACAAAATCGTGACATCAATATTGACCGAAAATAATTATTATTATAATTTGTGGCCATAATTAAGCAGACCTAACTGAGGGTGACCCAAATTCTGAGGGCCACCTAACCCAATATAAAGTAGGCCTAGGCCTAAATATTAAAAATCCATGATAAGTTTAATAAACATCTGTGTGCTGAAATAAAAGACCCTCTTAATTTGTTGTGAGACAGTGAATCAAACAGATGAGATCAGACATTAGATTACAGGGACGGTCCACATGAAAATGAAATCATGTCATTGTTCTCATTTTGTTCCAAAAACTTTGGCATATAATGACAACATTCAATTCACGGTCTAGAAAAAAAGCAATGAAACTGTCGACTGAGTCTGTCAGTATTCTGCCTCACATTTCCATCTTCTTAAGTAAACAGCGACAGAATATTTAGGTCTCAAGGACAAGACCACAAGAGCAAGACTCCAATTCAGCTAATTACGGACTGCTGGTTCTGTTTACTTATAGTTCAAAGGATCTCATATGTTCAAAATTGTTGTGCAATAACTTACTGATTCATAAAGTCAACACAAGCAATGGTACAAGGTGTATCATTAGTGGATATTGTCCTGTAATTGTTGATTTACTAACCTTCCATTGTATGGTCACTCACAAAACTGCTATCAAATTATCACATGGCACTGATAACCAGTATATAGTATTTAAAAAAAAAACACGAGTCTCACTTTAACGTTACATGCACTAATAGAAAGTACTACCATCCATGAACCATGATTTTCAAAATTACCTTAGCAATGTTTCAGTACTATGTGGTAACTTATATAATAAAGTACCATGGTGTTATCTGATAACACAAATACAAAATGATGTATAGTAGCACATGTCACTTGATATCATAGACGATACAAAGTATTCTGGGTTAAAATATAAACTGATAATGCAACGCCCGAAAAGATTGTTTACAATAAACCACAGCAAATACGCTCCAGGAAAGAAAACAACACGAAAATAAATACATAACCCATTTAACCAACCAAACCAGGACCTTTAAACAAATATATTTCCTTTAATTCACATCATTTGGTTATAAAAACTAACAAATAATCAAGATTCAAATGCCTTTAACGAAATGGTCATGTCGAGTAACGTTATTTAAATTCGTCTAACTAACGTTAATCTTATAAGTAACGTTACGTTATTAATTTCACAGCGAAACATTTCGATATGTCAAAAAGACTTATATTATATAAAAAAAACACACGTCACGAGTTAATACAGATAAGCAGGGGGATTTCTAACGTAAAAAAACAACATGTTCCCAAACAGTTAACGTAAGTTACCTTGATGTTTTTAGTATCCAATGTCTTCGAAATCACTCAGTTATATCCATAAAAATATCGACTGCTATCCGATCTGGTGTGTTTGGGTTAATGGCAGCGCATATGGCCTTCCAGACGGGTGTCGGTTGTCGGAACTGGGGGAACAGAACCGGATTCCCATTCCCAAATGGCTCCAGAAAATGAACTGGATCAGATCGGTTCTACCAAGCGTTCATTATGCGACAAACACTTGTCTTCCTCCAGGGGGCGAACGTTGGCTCAAGAATCGCAGCATGTTTACGTTTTTTTTATGTCATTTGTATGACAGTTGAATATAACGGGCCAATTCTATTAACTTAATTCCACAAATTAGTACCGGACACATATGGAAATTCAACTCGGTAATCTCTGTAAAAAATTCTTAAACCGTATTCTTGATCACCACAAACGACTGTGGTTAGTCCATCTCGACTAGCGCTGAGAAAAGTACCAGGTACCACGTGACAGTTATCCGTGTGTTTCTTCAGCAGTAGTACGGATAATATTTTTACATGAAGCATAATACAGATAATATTTTATAGCCAATAATTTAAAAATTGACAGTTAAGAGGAAAAAGTGCATAATTGTTATTAAGTTCCAACATACCGGACCAATCAGATGCAAAGTTCTGTTCGCCATGCCACGCCCATTCTGCTCGTTTTCAGTGGTTCTGCAGTTGCATCCCCGTCTCTACTTTCTCCAGGGATTTTTATACAGCAAGCGTGCTGGACGCAGGACGGAGGGGGATTGGAGATGGGACGGGCCATGGGAGCGTGGGCGGCTTCGTGACGTGGTGAAGAACCACTGAACCAACACCAAATTGTACGAAAAACAAAACTATAGTGTACATTCACTATGACCACACAGCGTGTAGTTATAATACAGCATTTTGTTTTAGGCCTAACCAAAATAAATGAGATAAAGTAAAAACAGGTACATGCTTTATATTTATATATATATATATATATATATATACAGTATATATATATATATATATATATATATATATATATATATATATATATACAGTATATATATATATATATATATATATATATATATATATATATATATATATATATAATTTTTATTATTATTATTATTATTTTGTAAATGGATATTAGATTGTATTTTTGTTAAAGGGTAACTAAACACCAAAACAACTTTTTTTAGTTAATGATACAAGTAAAATACATGTATAAATTACACATTTATAATCTAATATCCATTTTCAAAATACATTTTATATAGGACTATTCGATATCTATCAATTCTTTAGCATTAGTATTAGTAATAAAAATCTTAAATAACATCCAAATCTTGATATAAACTTTATAAACATTGTTGACAGTTTTTATTTAAGACTGAATTTGTTGCTCATGTTTTGATTATAATTCTGTTTCTGTTAAAAAAAAAATAATAAAAATTATATATATATATATATATATATATATATATATATATAATTTTTATTATTTTTTTTTTGTAAATGGATATTAGATTGTATTTTTGTTAATAAAAAAGGGGACAAGTTAAAAATAGATGATTTTTTTAATTAACAAAAATACATGTATAAATTACACATTTATAATCTAATATCCATTTACAAAATACATTTTATATAGGACTATTAGATATTTATCAATTCTTTAGCATTAGTATTAGTAATAAAAATCTTAAATAACATCCAAATCTTGATATAAACTTGATAAACATTGTTGACAGTTTTTATTTAAGACTGAATTTGTTGCTCATGTTTTGGTTATAATTCTGTTTATATAGTGTGGTAGGTTATATTATATTATGTTATGAGAATTGCTGTCAAAAGATGTCAAGCATTTCTATATCCTGTAGATGGAGCTCTGTGCTTATTATAAAGAATGTATAGTTTGGTTAAGCATCATGATTTTAGTATAACAACGATGACACTGATATACATGGTTTATCATCAGTGTAGCTACATTTCTGTCCATAGTGATTTCTAAACCAGAAAATTATTAAAAATAACACCAAAAGCATATACTTCATCTTGACTTGAGTTCAGGACTCACAGGCAATAAATCTTAATGCTGAAGTCATTATGTCTTTAACCTCAAACGGAAGGCAGCAGTAGGAGGAGAAATGTAGCGGTTCATATTAATAATAACACACCTCCTACACTCAGAATCACAGAGCAGAAATCTGTACGACTTTACATCCACCAAAATGATTCTCCGTTGGACAAAGTTGCTTTCAATTGTCATCCTGTTCGAAAATGCTAAAGGCTGGAATTCTTCAGGTCAGATATAAATCAGAATAAATTCATTGGTCATTCTTTTTCTGTAATGTATAAAAGCATTTCTCCTAGGTTTACAATACCTAAATCATTTTACCCCAGATGCTGTCTCTGTGCCGACCATTATTAAACTTCAGGCTTTGGACATGTGGACACTGGAGATGAAGTGGACAATGAATCAGAAAGAAGAACGCAGAAATCAAACTTATGAAATACAAGTCGGACGCACAACAAACATGGATATTGTCGACAGCGTGCGTGAAACTCCTCATTCCTCACATTATGACCTGACTTTTGTGTTATCCACTAATATTTTACAGTCTATTCACAGGTCAATGTTAGCAGAGGATCACTGGACACAGTTCACACGATGGTTTGGACCTCGCAGCTCCCGCTGAACTGTGTTGATCACTCTGTCAGAATCAGACTCGTCTCTGATGCTTTACCATACAGCTCTTGGAGTTTATGGAAAACCAACTACGGTAGGCATTTAAAGTTCATTTCAAAAGTTCATGACCAAGAACAACTCCAGAAAAATGTAGTTGGGTCCAAAAGCCTAGGACAACTTCGCAAATATAAGATATTTAGGCATTCACACACATTCTTGATTTAATTAAACTTGCTAATTCTAAAAAATAACCAAGACTAAACCACAAAACTGAGATATTTGGATCACACTGTCTATATATATGAAGAGTTCAGATGCAAAAGCCTCTAAATGCCATTTGAAATTTTCTTCTTTAATGATGATTTTTATCAAACTTGCAAATTTAAGTTCAGTAATTTCACTTAAATGGCAATGATAATTACCTATTAATTGTTATTTAAGTGAAATTACTGAACTTAAATATGCAAGTTTGATAAAAATCATCATTAAAGAAGAAAATTTCAAATGGCATTTAGAGGCTTTTGCATCTGAACTCTTCATATATAGACAGTATATATATATATATATATATATATATATATATAGAGAGAGAGTATATATATGTATATATATATATATATATATATAATTAGTTTTTTTACACACTCAATGAGGTCTTGGTGGAATATATTAAAAATATATATTTAATATATATATATATATATATATATATATATATATATAAAAAATTTATATATATATATATTTTTTTTTGTAATAACTTGTGTGGATATATGTGGATATATATATATATATATATATATATATATATCCACACAAGTCCATAGAGTGTGTAAAAAAAATACTAATTCATGAAGGATGAGTATATTTCCACACATTTAAATGTGATATATTGGAAGGCACTTTGACTTTAAAGTCACCATGTAATTACAATGGTGCAATTTAAAATTTTTAAGGAATATTGCAGTATTTATTATAAATGATTTATCAGTGCACATCATTTTTTTTTTTTATGAATGTTTCCTCATGATCTTGAGGGTGAGTAAATGATATTAGCATCTTCCTCTGCTGCTCTTTCGCATTTATGAAATCATTCCTTATGGCATTTTCTCTGTAGAGTATCATTGTACACACATTACTGGACCAAGTTAGACGGGTATCATTTAGCTGGTGAGGCTGATTGACCAACACGCTCTCAGAAGTGCACACTCATCAGTGACAGTTGAGAGGCAAATAACAGGCATGTTTAAAGTCAGGACAGTCATGGGTTAAGAGGAAGTTAAGAAAGAAAATAAATTCTGTCTTCAATCACTCTCTTGCCATTCTATACCTGTAAGACTTTCGTTCATCTTTGGAACACAAATGAAGATCTTATTGATGAAAAAGTTGAGTTTTCAGTCCCTCCATTGACAGCTAGGCAACTGACTCTTCCAAGCCCCAGAAAGGAATTAACATCATTAAAGTTATCTGTGACTCCAGTGGTTTAACCTCAATTTTATGAAGTCAAAAAAACAAAAATGTATTTATTATCCACTTTATTTAATAAATATTGATCTCCAAACCTGCATTCACGAGAGCATCACGACGCATATGTGTTGTGTTGACTCGACGTTGTTGTGTGAACGCGCTTTGGAGATTAATATTTTGTAAATAAAGTGGTAAATTATGTTTGCTCAAACCAAGCACTTGCATCAGTTCATAAAACTGAGATTAAACTACTGGAGTCACAGATTACTTTAAAGGGATAGTTCACTTTGAAATTAATTTTTGGTATGTTTTAGCTTACCTCAAGGGCATCCAAGATGTAGGTGTCTTTGTTTCCGCAGTAGTTTCAATTTTGATATTTTTAGGGCAAACCGTTCTTGTCTGTCAGTCATATAATGCAGGTCTATGGTCACCACCTCAAAGAGCATGCACAGAGAAGTCCAAATTAAACATAATTGAATGTAAGTACACACTGATGGCCTAAGACACGAAACGAGCGGTTTATGTGAGAAAACGAACAGTATTTAACAAACAGTACTTAACGTTTTTAACGAAATCGCCCGCGCCCTCAGATCACTTGGACGTGGCTGTGATTACAAGAGGTAAAAACGATATAAATACTGTTCGTTTTCTCACACAAACCGCTCGTTTCGTGTCTTAGGCCATCAATGTGTACTTACATTTACGAGTCATTAAATCATGTTTAATTTGGACTTCTCTGTGCATGCTCTTTGAGGTGGTGACCATAGACGTCCATTATATGACTGATAGATGAGAACGGTTTGAAATATTAAAATTGAAACTACTGCGGAAACAAAGACACCTACATCTTGGATGCCCTTGAGGTAAGCTAAAACATACCCAAAATGTATTTTAAAGTGAACTATCCCTTTAATGATGTTAATACCTTTATGAGGGTCAATGGAGGGACTGAAAACTGTCAGATTTCACCAAAAAGATCTTAATTTATGTTCAGAAGATGAACGCTTACAAAGTAATACATCACATTTACTATAGCAACAACATAGAAAATATGCTAAAAACACCAACGCCCTGACATCAAATCACGTGACCGAATATTGTGGTGAATATTTCTGAACATGCAAATACCTGTTTAAATTTGTGGAGTGTTTGGATGGTCCTATGAACATATCTATTCACTCATTTTCTCATAGGGGAGGTGAACTTGACTCACAATGAAATCCGGCTGTTCCCAGATGACCAGGTGTTACGGGCCGGTTCCACGGTGATGTTCTGCTGCATTTATCCCACAGAGACACACATCACCTCCATGTTCTTCGGCAACATCCCCTACACGGTCATCAACATAAGCCCACAGGTCAAAGCCATTAGAGTGGAAAACATCAAAGCCACAAATATTTACGGTGTCAACTTCTATCCCAGTAAGGACCGCAAGGACAATGATGTAGCAGTGAACTATGTCACCTGTGAGTTCAACTGTCCAAAATCATTTTCAAATGGCCTCATATACACTAGAGTACAGGCTAAAGTAATTCTTACGCAATTATGTAATTATAATACGTATTTTTTATGTAAATATAATACATAATTATGACAAAGATGCTAGTTTTAAACTATTTTAATATTTAGTACTTTTTTCTCTCGATATTTACAACTTAATTCACCTCAGTGTGTTACGGAACCCCTAATGGGACATGGTGAAGCAAAAAAAAAAAAAAAATGAGATGAGGAATTATTTGTCAAAGCTTCTGCATTCTCTCGCCAATGTGAACGGGGGAATGCAAAAGCATTGACTTGTTATATTTCCACCCGTTTCATTTTTTTTTTTTTTTCACCAGCATGTCCCTTTAGGGGATCCGTAGTATATTAATTGAATAAACCCAAGAACATATTTTAATAATAAAAAAAGAGAAATATGATTTCAGGTTACATTTTTTTTCATTGTAGATTTTTAGCACTAATTAAGTTGTAATGTTTTAATGAATGAAAATGTACGTCTTTAAAGGGCATGGTGAAGGAAAACAACTATGAGATGTGATGAAAAATTATTTGTCAATGCTTTTGCATCCTCTCACAAATCTTTTTCGTTCCATTCAGAAACTTTGTGTCCGCTTGCAAAGAACAGAAAAGTTTCTCAGGGGAATGCAAACATTTTAAAGAATACATTTTTTCCTCCCAAATCATATTTTTTTCCACCACCATGTATATATAAAGTTATCCTTTGGAAGTTTGAAATGTGATAATTATTTCTGAACATCACTGCATTCGATAATAAAATTTAAAACCAATTGTTTTTTAAGAAAGGCAGCACAAGCACGCTTTTGAAATAAAGATTTTTCACTAAATAAAATATAAAAATATTTAAGACTGAAGACAACTATAACATTGAAACAAGCATTTTTTGTAAAGCTGCTTTGAAACAAAAAGCATTATACAAAATAAACTAAATTAAGAAACAAAAAACGCAAAAGTAATCCATTACAAACGGAAACATTTTCTTTTAATCATGATGGGAGATTTTTGATTAGAGATTTTAATTTCTGCTTAACCTTGTTCAGTTCCTCCTGAGAAACCTCAGGACTTCAGATGCGAGACCGAAGACATGCGAACCGTCTCCTGCTCGTGGAAAACACGCACAGATCCTAATCTAGACGACCCGGAGAGAACGGACAACACATTACTGATCAAGTTAGTCTGATTTGATCACTACTTAAGAACACAGTGTAGTATCTCTGTCCTTGTAAGGTTATCTGCAATATCTGGTGATTTTCAGTGGAAATTAACCAGTGGAATTTCATTTCAAAATGAAACCGAAACCCCTGCCTACTAAGTTTTTAAAGATAAAAAATAAAAAAAAAAGATAAAACATATATACAGTGCTTAGCATAAGTAAATACACCCATGCTAAAGTTGACTAAAAAGAGGAATAAAAAAAATCATCCCCCTGTATTTTAAAGAAAAACATTTATTTATTTACGATTCATTTGAAAATTGGTGTCCTTAAAGGTTGGATTTTCCCTATTTTTTTTTTTTAAATAAAGCATTAAAATCAATTTCCAAAAGATGATTTTTTATTCCTCTTTTTAGTCCACTTTAGCATGGGTGTATTGACTTATGCTAAGCTCTGTAGTGGTTCACCACAACACCACAAGACATTCATTTATGCTCTTAAAGGGACAGTCCACCCTAAAATGGTGGATTTTTTTAAAAAAAAACCTTTGCTGATAATTTACTCACCCCCATGTCATCCAAGATGTCCATGTCTTTCTTTCTTCAGTCGAAAAGAAATGAAGGTTTTTGATGAAAACATTCCAGGATTTTTCTCCATATAATGCACTTTACTGGGAACCAAACGGTTCAAGGTCAAAATGACCTTTATCACTCGTTTATCAAAATGAGCGAATCGTTTTTCATGTCATTTGGTTCATTCAACGAACGAAATGAACAAATTGATAAAAAAATCGGGAAATAATTTGTTCATTTTGATGAACGAGTTTGATCAGGAGAGTCACGAACACGAATCACAAAACAGAGCAAGGAGACCATTTGAGCTTATAAAACTTAAACTTTGTTTTTTTGTATTTTTTAAATGAGTGATCGTTTCACTTGATAAGACCCTTATTCATTGTCTAGAATCGTTTAAAGCCCTTTGAACAGTTTGCACTGAAACTGTCTTTTGGACCTTGAACTGTTTGGTTCCCATTGAAGTCCATTATATGGAGAAAAATCCTGAAATGTTTTCATCAAAAACCTTAATTTCTTTTCGACTGAAGAAAGAAAGACATGAACATCTTGGATGACATGGGGGTGAGTAAATTATCAGCAAAAGGTTTTTTTTAAAGTGAACTACTGCTTAAACTCACCAATGTCGTTCCAAACAACATTGACTTACATTATAAAGACAGATTTTTCAAAATATGTAAGTGTGAGTAAATTATAAACAAATTGTCATTTCTAGGTGAAAAATCCCTTTAACTGTGTCCAAATTCACACTCATTTTAGTTTTGACTCATTACGAGTTGAATAAAACTGCATTTCTACTGTTCAGCGACTCCAGGGCCGTCAGCTGTAATCCTGAGCCAAATTCTGAGGCCTGCAGTTTTGAAGTCATTCCACAGCAGATCCTCTACAACATCACCTTGCTTGTGACGAACAGTTTGGGGCGAGAGAGCGAGACCGACTTATTCAATATCACAGACAGAGGTGAATATGATTAAAGATTCATACAGCAGAGTTAGCAGCTTTGAGGGCTCACACAGCACAGTGAGGTGGACTAGCTTAAAGATCTGGGTCAGATAAACAAAAGGTTGTAAGATGAAATCTCATGTGAACCATCACAACTGTACACTCAGTCAAGATGCTTTACCTCAGGTTGTAATCCATACCCTTTATAAGTGGATTTCACATCGCTTTGATAGGGAATGATGTCACGATTTTGGGATCACCTCTTTAATTTCTCAACCATTCAATCTCGCATTAGTTTTCCCAGTCCCCGTGCGTCTTGACGTGGCTGCAGGTGTGTTGGACTCAGTGGTGGTATTACAGCTGAATGGGAGATTCAAAGGACTTCTTTTGAGTTGCCAGATTGAAATTGAACCAAGAGGGAGAATAAAGGTAATAAACAGTCCCTCCAGGATTTCACGATTTTTTTGTGTGATTTTTGCGATCAAAATGACTGATTTTGTGGTGGTAATTTCCAAAAATTTGTGAAAAAATTTGCGATTTATATATAACATTTACCATAATAGTATTCAGTCCTTCCAGAAAAACGCGGAGTTTTTTGTGATTGTTGCGGGCAAAAATTGATTGATTACGCGGTAAACTGCTGGCAGCTGTGGTTGCCAGCATCATACCGTAAATTTATGCAATTTTATGCGATGAAATTGCAGGAATTTGCAAAAATTGCGGTTTGATGAAAAAGAGAAAAAAAGTGATTCCCCAACACCCTGTTCTCACTAGGCTAATGTAAGAGTCATTTCTTATTACTTCCTTTGATAAGCAAGCATACTACATCATAGAAAGTGCTGGGAATATTTAATTTCTCATCTTGTTTTATTTCAGACTGTAACGAGTGTAAATAAGGTGTGGCCCCTTTAAGAGCTGCGCGCTCCCTGTTGAACTCTCTGCAGTGTTATATGTGCGCCTCGAACGCCCCGTGTGTGCGGGTAATTTCTGTTTGATGCTAATTCTTTTATCTTATGATGTTTATTAAGTAACGATGTGACGGTAGAACGTGTGACAGACAGTTATACGAGTTCGATTTGTGAGATGTCAATCGCCTCCGTGAGTCTGTCTGGCGTCGCGTAATTGCGTCACTTCATAACGTTCCCATGGAAACAGGGGGAAATGGCTGCTCTTGTGTGAAGCAAACGCAACATTTTTCAACTTTCTGCTAAGATACATGTGACTTTTTTTGCAACGAAAATGCGATTATTATGAAATTATGCAAACCCCGCATATTTTGCACGGCAATCGGCAATTTATGCGGCGAAAGTGCGGCGTATTTGAAAAAATGCGGCCCCCGCATAAATATGCGGACTGATTTTGCATTGAATTCAGCGATCGCATAATCGCGTTTTTCTGGAGGGACTGAGGGATAGTTCACCTAAAAATGTACATTCATGCCCTCATGTCATTCCAAACCCATAAGACTTTTGTTCTTCTTCAGAGCACAGATGAAGCCAAACTATGTTCGTGACAACTGTCATTAAGTGTCTTTCGCTCAATAATGACATTTTGAATGCAAATATGACATTGTTTAAGATGTCTTTGATACCTATAAACCATAACATCACAACCTATCAGTGTCTTTGTCATGACAACTTAAACGGTCATGTGGTTGGCTTTGACATTGGCTGTCATGAGGCATTATAACTACTAATTATAGTACTAATTGAATTTGTCAAGTTATAATGGCTTCATGACAGCCAATGTCAAACCCAACCACCTGACAGTTTAATGTAATGCTAACCAATAAAGCTAGGTGCTTTCTTAAGTTTGATTTTTAATCTGCTATGTCATGTTTATGACAGGTTGAGTTGTCTTAGTAATGTTGTCAAGGTGTCAAAGACACTGACAGGTTTTGATGTATTGGTTTATGTCAAGGTGTCATCTCAAACAAGGTCATATTTGCATTATTTGCACTTAATGACACAAACATGCATAAAACTTCCTTCATATTCATAACATGTCATGTAAAGTGTAAAGTAAAGTGTTACCTATATTTTTTATGGAATCTGAGAAATTAAAGTCTATTAAAGTCCAAAACTCTGACGCTTCAAAACGTTCATAATGAGATTGTAAAAGTATTCAAATTATAACCCTTTTTTTATTGTTTCACAACATGTTTTTGTGTCTTTATGTTTCGAAATAATGTAGTGGCCTCCGAAATACGTCAAGAGGGAGTTTCAAAAGAACTATTAACCTCTCGTGAAACCAGACTCGCCACATCAGATAAAGTAAATGAACTTCAACAGAAATGTTGAGGCACGTCCTGTTTTGTTGTCTTACAGGAGTTAGATAAGAATGGATCTGACTCGATGCAGAATTACCCATTCAGACTACAGCACCTCAAGCCTAGCACACGCTACTCCACTAGGGGACGCTGTGCAGTTCAGGGGAACGACTGGGGGCGATGGACACCACACAGGCCATTCGTCACTGGTAAAAATCATCACTAATGATCATCATATTCAGGGGGTTGTTGTCAGGAAGTTTAAAGGAGTAGTTCACTTTTAAAAAAACCTTTTGCTGATAATTTCCTCACCCCAATGTCATCCAAGATGTTCATGTCTTTCTTTCTTCAGTCGAAAAGAAATTAAGGTTTTTGATGAAAACATTCCAGGATTTTTCTCCATATAATGGACTTCATTGGGGACCAAACGGTTCAAGGTCCAAATGAGAGTTTCAGTGCAGCTTCAAAGGGCTTTAAACGACACCAGACGATGAATAAGGGTCTTATCTAGCGAAACGATCGCTCATTTAAAAAATTTTATAAAAAAGTTTAAGTTTTATAAGCTCAAATGCTCGCTTTGCTCTGCGTTCATGACTCTCCTGTTGGAACTCGTTCATCAAAATGAACAAATCTTTTTTTCGAGTCATGACTCAAAGGGTCCTTGATAAGACCCTTAGTCATCGTCTGGAGCCGTTTAAAGACCTTTGAAGCTGCACTGAAACTCTCATTTGGACCTTGAACCGTTTGGTTCCCATTGAAGTCCATTATATGGAGAAAATCCTGGAATGTTTTTTTATCAAAAACCTTAATTACTTTTCGACTGAAGAAAGAAAGACATGGGCATCTTGGATGACATGGGGGTGAGTAAATTATCAGTAAAAGTTTTTTTAAAAGTGAACTACTCCTTATATGCATATGCATGACTATTTCTATTGCCCACATATCGAAGATTAGACATTTTTCAAACATGTAATATTGAAAAATCAGGCACATAATCCATCCCACACTGTTTGTGCCACAGATGTCAATAATCCCTCACTATAACATCAGAAAATCACAAGGTCCTTTTGAAAGAACGCCTCAGAAAGCAAACAGCAACACACTAAACACAGTAGCAAGCGAATAGCAATGCCGTAGCAAACACCAACATCCAAGTTATTTTGTTTTTCAGAGCCTCTAGTGACCATAGATCTGTGGAGACGAATCAGGGACGATCCCAATCGCACCGTCACACTTGTGTGGAAAAATGTAAGTTTACATATTCAACATTATTCAAACTTATTCATACTTCTTAAAGGGTTAGTTCACCCAAAAATGAAAATTAAGTCATTAATTACTCACCCCCATGCTGTACCAACCCCGTAAGACCTTCGTTCGTCTTCGAAACACAAATAAAGATATTTTTGATTAAATTTGAGAGCTGTATAACTACCACATTGGCTCCTAAGGGACTGCCTCTTGACGGCCCAGAAAGTCAATGAAGAAAATGTTTAAATATCCCAAGTGACTACCGTGGCTCAACTATATGTTTATCAAGCGACGCGAATACTTTTTGTGCGAAAAAACAAACAAAAATAACGAGTTTATTCGACTATTTCTTTTCTTCCTTGTAGGCCAGAACGAGACTTCCTTATAGATTTCCACGACGCATGCGCGAGAATTGCGATCTGCTTACACCAGCTTACACTACTTCAGATCGCAATTCTCGCGCATGCGTCGTGGAAATCTAAGGAAGTCTCGTTCTGGCCTACAAGGAAGAAAAGAAATAGTCGAATAAACTCGTTATTTTTGTTTGTTTTTTCGCACAAAAAGTATTCGCGTCGCTTGATAAACATATAGTTGAGCCACGGTAGTCACTTGGGATATTTAAACATTTTCTTCATTGACTTTCTGGGCCGTCAAGAGGCAGTCCTTTAGGAGCCAATGTGGTAGTTATACAGCTCTCAAATTTAATCAAAAATATCTTTATTTGTGTTTCGAAGACGAACGAAGGTCTTACGGGGTTGGTACAGCATGGGGGTGAGTAATTAATGACTTAATTTTCATTTTTGGGTGAACTAACCCTTTAAGAATTACTTTATATGATGTTTGGTGCAGTTAATGTTATTGGCTGAAGTGCATTGGCAATATATTTTTTGCCTTTTTTATATTTTGAAATGTATTTATGTTTGTTTTTTTCCTGTAAATACACAAATATTCGTACTAAAGTATACAAATATATAGAAAATATATATATAAATACACAAATATATATAAATATAAATATAAATACACAAATATTCAACATAAATATTCTCAGGTCAGCAGCGACTCGTCGTATATCGAAGCCTATGAGGTGTGTGTGAGCAGCAGAAATCCACAGAGGAGCGTGTGCATGAATGTCACGGAGAAACATACGGAACTACCCTTAGATCATCACATGTGTGACATCACCGTGAGGGCCGTCACTCAATCTGGCTTATCTATACCATCCCACATCACTATTCCTCCAGCATACACAGGTGACAAGCTTAATGCTCAGTGTTTGAGGGGCTTCTGTATGACGTGAGATAACTGACTGTTGGTACTGCTGCAGACATACCGAAGGAGAAGAGGATTATGGGTAATGGAAAGGAATTTCAGCTCACCTGGATGAGGGACTCTGTCGCCACATGTGATTACATTGTAGAGTGGTGCATGCTGGGTATTGCCCCTCCCTGCAACTTAGAGTGGAGAAACGTCCCAGTTCATCAGACCTCCTTAAACCTGGACGCAGGTGGGTCAAGAAGTCAAGTCACAGTACAACAGAATAAAATAGTACAGTGAATGTGTTTCTAGATATCTGACAGCATTACTGTATATATGAAAGCTCTTATAAAACATATGCTTTTTTTGTTGCATTTAAAAACAATTTCTGGCTGAAAAATATTTTAGAGTTTGTAAGTGTAAAAAATGACTATGATTTTTAAATGGTAAAAATGTTAGGGTTGAAAACTAATAAATCAAAATGAACAAGAACAGGTCATCTTATAATTACATATAATTATAATAATAATCAGCTTTGATTCATCACATGGTTTTCTCGTTAGCACTTGTGTTTTTTGGTGGTTGTCAGAATACTTATAAAGGTGTGAAATATTTTAGCACTTTAGTAGGTTGGTGAATTAACATTATATCAGTTCATTTTACTATAATCAGTTTTTTTTACTGTAAATTTAAGTTTAATCTGTAAAACCAAAATATTGCTACTATATTTTTTACAGTGTAGATATAACACTGCCCATTGAGTTTTAAGACTGACATTACTTTTTCAGTTTTAGAAATCACACTTTTAAAATAAGACTATGGTTCTCCAAATAAATAATTAAAGAAAAACACTTGGGTTACAATTTATTTTAAGGTGTCATTGTTACATTTTTAATTATACATTTAAAGGAGTAGTTCACTTTAAAAAAACTTTTGCTGATAATTTACTCACCCCCATGTCATCAAAGATTTCCATTTCATTCTTTCTTCAGTCCAAAAGAAATTAAGTTTTTTGATGAAAACATTCCAGGATTTTCTCCATATAATGGACTTCAATGGGAACCAAACGGTTCAAAGTCCAAATGAGAGTTTCAGTGAAGCTTCAAAGGCCTTTAAACGACACCAGACGATAAATAAGGGTCTTGTCAAGCGAAACGATCGGTCATTTAAAAAATAAATAAAAAAATGTATTCATTGTCTTATTCATTGTCTGGTGTCATTTAAAGCCCTTTGAAGCTGCACTGAAACTCTCATTTGGACCTTGAACTGTTTGGTTCCCATTGAAGTCCATTATATGGAGAAAAATCCTGGAATGTTTTCATCAAAAACCTTAATTTCTTTTCGACTGAAGAAAGAAAGACATGGACATCTTGGATGACAAGGGGGTGAGTGAATTATCAGCAAAAGTTTTTTTAAAAGTGAACTACTCCTTTAAGTGCTGAGTAATATTAATTAACTACATTTACATATTATAGGGTTAAGGTTTGGTTGAGGGTTACTTGCATGTAATTATTTATAATTTACTGTTAATACTATGATAATTAAATGTAACATGTAACAGACACTGTAAAATAAAGTAGTTAAGTTATATAGTAGTCAAACAATAGTTGAGGGGGATGAAGAAAAAATAAGAAATATTTCTATATTCTCTTATTTTAAATACAAATATTTTTTATTTTTGTGCTTAAAATCTCTGTAAACTATATTTTAGATTTTAAAGCAGGAGTTCGGTACAGATTTATAATCTACAGCTGTAGCGCTGAGGGACACCGACCTCGTGAGAAACACATCGGATACTTAAAAGAACAGGGTAAGAGTGCACACACACACACACACACACTTTACCTGCTACACATCTATAGGACATTAAAGTAGAGCGAAACACAGGTGCTTATGCGCAATATTATATATTGCACTGGGGAAAATGCATCAAAATGACAATTTTCACATCTGCATTGTGCAATATGACATATAAATCTTATTTTTGTGTTTTTGTGTGTGTGTGTGTGTGTGTTCTCAAGAGCCCATGGAGTACCCTACATTGGACACTAACCTAAACATTACTTGGTCATCCGTAAACCTGAAATGGAGTTTCAATGAGGAGGATCCGAGTCACGCTGGATTCATCACAGGATATGAGATCACGGTACAAAAAGATTCAGAGGCCGGCTCTGATCTCAGTAAGTGTTACGTTAGCCTTAAAAGACAATGAAAACATGAGCTTCTTCACCCTGACATATGAACAAAATAGTCAAGACATAAAAAATAAATAAAATAATTGTAAAAGTTTGGTTATTGAACCTTTTGACAAAATCTAAAAAAAAGTATTTTTTGTTTTGTATCATATTTGATACTTCAGGCTTTTATGCTTCATATAGTATGAAATAGTTTGAATATGAAGCTCATACTTGAGGAAGAAAAAAAAAACAAATATTTTATGCATTTGCTGATATTTACAGTATATGGACAAGATTAAATCGCTTGTAAATGTAAATTAATGACATGTTTACAACAGTATAATAGACAACTTATAAAAACAAACTCAGTTATCTCCCAATAATGTCTTAGTAAGATGATATTTAAATAAAGCTCTGTAGTTTTTTTTATTAAACATATACATAGTGCAATGTGATGCAACGATGACAGAGATAAACCTTCCTCAAAAGCCTGATAGATCATATTTGATGCTCTCATATTTTAACCTCACGTTATATTACTAACCCGTTTGTCTATATTGTAATAGATCCACCGGTTTATTCCAGCAGGTTCCTTCAGACAGTTCGTGGACGATCCTCACAGCAAGTCTTTCACAGTGAGTGGTCTTGAGGAGGAGCAGACGTACACATTTCACCTGGCAGCGTGCACATCTGCAGGCTGTGGACCCGAGACCACCGGCACCTTCAAAACCAGAAAGAACTGTGAGCCCATCCGTCACATTAACAGAAACCAGACAGTCCGGTTTCATCTTCTACATCTATTCATTATTTACTCAGTCATTTCATTCCAAACCTGTGAGACATAAAAGATGATATTAATATATCTCGCTGCTTATTCCTCCATTGCATCATTACTCCAGTCTTCAGTGTCACATGATCCTTCAGAAATCATGATGATTTGCTGCTCAAGAAACAGTTCTGATTATTATCAATGCTGAAAACAAACAGTTGTGCCGCTTCATATTTTCGTGGAAACATTTTTTTAGTTATTCTTTGAATAGAAAGTTAAAAAAAACAGCATTTGAAATCTAACTCGTTTAATTTTAATCTATTAAAATAAAATCTGATTATTTTAATATTTGAAAAATGTTCCACAAAAGTGCAAAATTTAAACAGAATTGTCCCAAGTGTGTTATTTCTATGCAAAAATGTTGTTTGCATAATCATAATGAATTTGAGCGATATTTTTGTGTGGGCTGGCCATTTCATAATGTTGAACTTGTAGGATTACATATTCAGTCCCTCCAGGATTTCACGATTTTTTTTTTTTGTGATTTTTGCAATCAAAATGACTGATTTTGTGGTGGTAATTTCCAAAAATGTGTGAAAAAATTTGCGATTTATATTTAACATTTACCATAATAATATTCCTTCCAGAAAAACGCTGTCATGATTCTGCCATCATGTCTTAGATTTTTCCTGGTCTTGTGGCAGGATCGTGACAGACCCATGTTTTGTGTACAAGCGCATGGCCTGTGTGGCCATGTGCTTGTGTTGTCTCGTTACATAACCCCGCCCTCTTGTTATCCTCGTCTTGTCATTATTGTCTAGTCAGTGTCACCTGTCCTCGTCATTAGTGTTCCCTATTTATTCCCCTTGTGTTTGCTGTCCTGTGTCGGTTCATTGTGAAACCTACCGTGAGTTCAGTGTTTGACTTTATCATACTTTGTGTTTGTATCAAGCTGTGAGTAACTAGTTGAGAGTCTTGTCAAGAAGAGTTTGTTTCTATTGTTAGTTCATAGTCTTAGTCTAGTGTGTTATACCCTGTCCTGTTTTGCCCCATCGTGGGTTTTTCTTTCTGTTTTGTCCTTTAATAAACCCCTTTGAGAATCAGTTGCTGTCTGCTAGTGGGTTCATCAGCCACCCTCATAACAGAATGAACCGACCAACAAGAAACCCAGCAGACAGCAAGCCTATTTATCCTACTCTGCAGCCGTCAGACCCCGAACAATGGTGGCAGTCGGCCATCACCGACAGCCTGGAAGGCAAGCTTCCTTTCCCTCCTCAGGGAGAGTTGACCCTGAGGAAGTACGCCCAGGTCGTGGAGAAGAGGAGGTTTTTCTTGCCGGAGATTCTGGTCAACCGCTACTTCATCGCGGGTCTTAACGTCCATCCTCCTCTAGCTGAACGTGAGAGACTGGTCAGCCGCCCGTTCCACAAGATGGTGGACAGTCTGTCACAGAGGGAGCTGCAGGGTGCTACAAGGTCTTCATCTTCCGCTACACTTCCTGTGATCCCTGAGGGTCGTCTGTTAGCTGTTGCTACACTTGGGGACCAACCCAGTCTTGCCGCGACTCCTGAGACACCTTCCACGTCCATCAGTCTTCATGGTAAGCGTGGAAGGCACCCGTCGTGGGAGTCAGCATCAGAGTGTTCCTGCCCGGAATCCTCCTCGCCTGCAGTGAGCTCACCTGTTCCGGTAACGGCTCCTGCTTCACCTCCCTCTCCGGTCACTAGTCTGGCTACCTACTCTGCCCCGCGACCCAGGAGGAAGAAGAGGAGGAGAGGACCTTCGGGTTCGCCGTCTCTACCCCCTCCTGAGCCCGTGATGGCTCTCCAACCCGCCGCTGAAGTCGGAAGCGCTGTTCCCTGCCCCGCTGCTGTAAGCGCGATTCCGGTGGTTGCAACAGGAGACACCGTTCTTCAACCTGCTGCAGAAAGCGCCTTTTCCCAGTCGGCGTGGGGGAGATCCATTCCAGAGACTTGTACTGAGAAGGTCGTCTCTGAGTCTTCTGCCGTGTCTGCAGAGGAGAGAGCAGCAGCAGATTCCGCTGCAAGGGCTGTGGTACAGTCCGTTTCGGCTCATCAGGAGATGCCAGTCATCATCGCTGCCAGAACCCTGTCCGAGTATTTATCCCGTCTGGTCAGAATTCTTGATTTCCCAGTCAGTCCTGTCTCATCCCCAGTCCCTGTTTCAAATGCTCCAGAGAGCGCCGATCCCAGTCCAGAAACAGTCTTCGCTGATCCCAAGTCTGCTACACAGAGCACAGATCTCAAGCCAGCTGCAGTCTTCGCTGATCCCAAGTCTGCTACACAGAGCACAGATCTCAAGCCAGCTGCAGTCTTCGCTGATCCCAAGTCTGCTAAACAGAGCACAGATCCTAAGCCAGCTGACTTAGAGGCTGATCCCAGGCCAGCTGCCAAAGCTCCACAATCGACTGTTTCGCCCCGTGTCTTGTGTCCTGCACCTTTGCCTGCTTTGTCCCCCGTCAAAAGTCCCGTTACCTCATCCTCTGTGTCCTTGGAGTCCTCTATGTTGGAGTCTGCTGCTGCCAGTAAGACTGCATCCCCGTCTGTTTTCCCGGTCTCCCCTGGCTCCTCTAATTCCCGGTCTGTTTCCCCATTTGTCCCCGTCCCCACTGTTCCTGGACTTCCGTTTGTTTCCCCTGTCATGGCTCAACCCCGGACTGTTTTTCCCTTGTCCCACACCACTCCTCCCAAGCCCGCTCGGTCCTCTCGTCCTAAGCCCACTCCCCGTGGTCCCAGGACCCCTGTCCCGCCCACCCACCCTGGACTGTCGCGCAAAGACATTGTGTTTCCTCCCCTCCTCTGCCCTGTATGATGTTTTTGATGTTTCATCCCAATCCTGTCATTGTTTATTCTTGTATGCCCTTATTATTATTTGTTATGTATTGTTGGTTCTTGTCTTTGTCCCAGTTGGTCTTGTCTCATGTTTGATGTCTCCTTGAGGAGCGTCTGGAAGCCGCTCCTTAAGGTGGGGGTTCTGTCATGATTCTGCCATCATGTCTTAGATTTTTCCTGGTCTTGTGGCAGGATCGTGACAGACCCATGTTTTGTGTACAAGCGCATGGCCTGTGTGGCCATGTGCTTGTGTTGTCTCGTTACATAACCCCGCCCTCTTGTTATCCTCGTCTTGTCATTATTGTCTAGTCAGTGTCACCTGTCCTCGTCATTAGTGTTCCCTATTTATTCCCCTTGTGTTTGCTGTCCTGTGTCGGTTCATTGTGAAACCTACCGTGAGTTCAGTGTTTGACTTTATCATACTTTGTGTTTGTATCAAGCTGTGAGTAACTAGTTGAGAGTCTTGTCAAGAAGAGTTTGTTTCTATTGTTAGTTCATAGTCTTAGTCTAGTGTGTTATACCCTGTCCTGTTTTGCCCCATCGTGGGTTTTTCTTTCTGTTTTGTCCTTTAATAAACCCCTTTGAGAATCAGTTGCTGTCTGCTAGTGGGTTCATCAGCCACCCTCATAACAAACGCTGAGTTTTTTTTTTTGTGATTGTTGCGGGCAAAAATTGATTGATTATGCAGCCAGTTTTCTTTAAAAATGCGATGGAATATGCGGGATATTTATGCAATTTTATGCGATGAAATTGCTGGAATTTGCAAAAATTGAGGGAACTTGCAAAAATTGCGGTTTGATGAAAAAGAGAAAAAAAGTGATTCCCCCAACATCCTGTTAATTTAAGAGTCATTTCGTATTACTTCCTTTGATAAACAAGCATACTACATCATAGAAAGTGCTGGGAATATTTAATTTCTCATCTTGTTTTATTTCAGACTGTAACGAGTGTAAATAAGGTGTGGCCCCTTTAAGAGCTGCGCGCTCCCTGTTGAACTGTCTGCAGTGTTATATGTGCGCCTCGAACACCCCATGTGTGCGGGTAATTTCTGTTTGATGCTACTTCTTTTATCTTATGATGTTTATTAAGTAACGATGTGACGGTAGAACGTGTGACAGACAGTTATACGAGTTCGATTTGTGAGATGTCAATCGCCTCCGTGAGTCTGTCTGGCGTCGCGTAATTGCGTCACTTCATAACGTTCCCATGGAAACAGGGGGAAATGGCTGCTCTTGTGTGAAGCAAACGCAACATTTTTAAACTTTCTGCTAAGATACATGTGACTTTTTTTTGCAACGAAAATGCGAGGATTATGAAATCATGCAAACCCCGCATATTTTGCACGGAAATCGGCAATTTATGCGGCGAAAGTGCGGCGTATTTGAAAAAATGCGGCCCCCGCATAAATATGCGGACTTTGGCTGATTTTGCATTGAATTCAGCGATCGCATAATCGCGTTTTTCTGGAGGGACTGCATATTTAATTTCCATGTTTAATTTAGGTTCCAATACAATAGTATTCAAACTGAGGGAGTTTAGTGTACAAAATGTAAACAAAATTGTCCCAAGTGTGAATAACTCCACACATTGTTTTCTTACATAATCATAATGAATTTGAACTATATTTATGTGTGGGCAGGCCATTTCATAATGTTGAACAGTAATAAGAGATAATAATTCTCTCCACAGATCACCTGATGACGGTCAAGATTTTGAGTCCTCTCCTGGTTTTGGTGTGTTGTTGCGTTTGTCTGTGGATGAACAGAAACACGTAAGTCTTATAACATTAGAAGTAAGCTGACGATCTGATGTTCGTATCTGTGGCGTGCTGATGATTTCTTACCAACCGTTTTCCAGGCTAAGAGGATTTCCAAAAGAAACCTTCGGCTTTCTGCACATAAAAGCACTGGACCTGGATGAAGATCTTTATGAAGTAATTCATTACAATGATGCTGTGCAATAATGTGCCTCTATTTATTTTGACAGCATAAACCAGCCTACCGTAAGTCTGGCCATGCTTGTCTTGTGTAGCTGGTTTGACAGGTTTTGGGCAATTTTCAGGATGTGAGCTAAACCAGCAGATAACAGGCTTGAAGAAGTGTGAAATCAGCTTAAACCAATCTTAGGCTAGATAAGCTGTTTTTGTGAGCAGGTTACAGAACAGATGTTCTAGTTGTGAAAATCATCCAATTATATCCCAAATGGTGGACCAATTAAGAGAAAAATCCATTATAAATAAACCTACATGTCATTCAATACAACAAAAAAAAAGTATTTAATCTAGTTTTGGTAACACTTCACAATAATGTGTCATTTGTCTAACATGAACTAACTATCAATATATATTTTTTTACTTTGTCAGTGTTAGTTTATGCTTTGCTTTATTGGCATTGATGATTACATGAAGAACCTTTAACATTCAGGGAATCTTTCCATTGCACAAAAGGTTCTTTATAAAGTCCTAAACACTCTTTATAAGTTTCTTTTTAAAACATTGTTCACTCTAAGGGGCCGTTAACTATGGAAGCTTGAAGCTTGTTGGTAATTGCGACTTTTTATCTCACAATTCTGACTTTTTTTCTCACAATTGCAAGTTTCTCACAATTCTTGCGAGATATAAAGTCACAATTGCGTGATAAAGTCACAATTGCGTGTTAGTCACAATTGCGTGTTATAAAAGTCACAATTGCGTGTTATAAAGTCGCAATTGCGTGTAATAAAGTCACAATTGGGTGTTATAGTCGCAATTGCGTGATATAAAGTCACAATTGCGTGTTTTAAAAGTCACAATTGCGTGTTATAAAGTCGCAATTGCGTGTAATAAAGTCACAATTGCGTGTTATAAAGTCGCAATTGCGTGTTAGTCACAATTGCGTGTTATAAAGTCACAATTGCGTGTTATAAAGTCGCAATTGCGTGTAATAAAGTCACAATTGCGTGTTATAAAGTCGCAATTGCGTGATATAAATCACAATTGCGTGTTAGTCACAATTGCGTGTTATAAAGTCACAATTGCGTGTTATAAAGTCGCAATTGCGTGATATAAAGTCACAATTGCGTGTTATAAAGTCACAATTGCGTGTTATAAAGTCGCAATTGCGTGTAATAAAGTCACAATTGCGTGTTATAAAGTCGCAATTGCGTGTTAGTCACAATTGCGTGTTATAAAGTCACAATTGCGTGTTATAAAGTTGCAATTGCGTGTAATAAAGTCACAATTGCGTGTTATAAAGTCGCAATTGCGTGATATAAATCACAATTGCGTGTTAGTCACAATTGCGTGTTATAAAGTCACAATTGCGTGTTATAAAGTCACAATTGCATGTTATAAAGTCGCAATTGCGTGTAATAAAGTCACAATTGGGTGTTATAGTCGCAATTGCGTGATATAAAGTCACAATTGCGTGTTAGTCACAATTGCGTGTTATAAAGTCACAATTGCGTGTTATAAAGTCACAATTGCGTGTTATAAAGTCGCAATTGCGTGTAATAAAGTCACAATTGGGTGTTATAGTCGCAATTGAGTGATATAAAGTCACAATTGCGTGTTAGTCACAATTGCGTGTTAGTCACAATTGCGTGTTAAAGTCGCAATTGCGTGTAATAAAGTCACAATTGCGTGTTATAAAGTCGCAATTGCGTGTTATAAAGTCGCAATTGCGTGTAATAAAGTCGCAATTGCGTGATATAAAGTTACAATTGCGTGATAAAAAGTCGCAATAGTGTGATATAAAGTCACAATTGCGTGTAATAAAGTCGCAATTGCGTGTTATGAAGTTGCAATTGCATGTTATAAAGTCACAATTGCGAGATATAAAGTCACAATTGTGTATTATAAAGTCGCAATTGCGTGATATAAAGTCACAATTGCGTGTTATAAGGTCAGAATTGCGTGATATAAAGTCGCAATTACATGTTATAAAGTCAGAAACGTGTGTTATAAAGTCGAAATTGCATGTTGTAATGTCACAATTGTGAGATATAAACTATTTTATTTTAAGTTATTTTTTTAGAATTGACCAGATAACTCGCAATTGCGAGTTTATATCTCACAATTCTGAGAAAAGATATCAGAATTTCGATATGTAAACTCGCAATTGTGAGAAAAAAAAAATCAGAATTGTGAGATAAAAAGTCGCAATTATCTTTTTTTCTCGCAATTGCGACTTTATTTCTCAGAACTGCGACTTTATATCTCGCAATTGCGACTGCATTTCTCACGATTCTGACTTCACATCTCGCAATTGTGAGATAAAAAGTTTTTTTAAAAAGATTTTTTATTCAGTGGCGGAAACAAGCTTCCATAGTTAACAACACTGTTAAAGGGTTAGTTCACCCAAAAATGAAAATTCTGTCAGTATTTACTCACCCTCATGTTGTTTCAACCCCGTAAGACCTTCGTTCATCTTCGGAACACAAATTAAGATATTTAAGATATTAAGATCGCTCCTGCATACAGTCCATAGGCTTCTTGAGGGACTGGCTCTTGCTGTCCTCGAAAAGTCATTAAAGACATCGTTAAAATAGTCCAAGTGACTACAGGGGCTCAATCTTAAGTTTATCAAACGACGAGAACACTTTTGTGCGCAAAAAAACAACAAAAATAACGACTTTATTTCAACTATTCACTTCCTTCTCCATGAGCCTGTAAGTCAGTTAACGTAGTGTGATTGCGTAGAGCTACGTCACACGTAGGCTCACTATTGGCCGACGCTGGTCATGTGTGTGTGATGCGTGTGACGTACAATAACAGAAGCGTACGCTATTAAACTAGTAACCTGACTCGCGCAGAGGGAGAAATAAACGAATAGTTGAAATAAAGTCGTTATTTTTGTTGTTTTTTTGGCTTTACATGACTATGGCTTTTTGGGGGCCTGAAAACACAAGCTTTTGATAATGCGTTTCATTCTCAGGGTACGTTCACACGATAACGAAGTAGGCCTACTAATAACGGAAAACGTTTTCTTTTTCTTTTGCATTTTTCAAACTTGCACGTTGAAACCCGTTTTCAAAAGTTGGCGTTTTCAGGCACCCAAAGCATTGTTGTGTAAATGAACCGTTTTCAACCCAACTTTTTATGCGTTTTGGCAGCGTCATGTAAACGCCTCTTGTTTTCTCCATGTAAACTACAAAAATGTGAATTTGTGAAAAGGTGACGTCGTGTATTACGTGTTCAGACTATAGGCGCGTAGTATTTCTTTACAAAATGCCATCGCCAACTACTGGCTAGACAGGAGACTAAAGAAAACCGATTCATTAGTATAGATTAGTTTTACGATTTCTATATGAACTTTTTGAAGTTTTCAAAGTTTCAAAGACAAATCTCTCAGATTTCAAAGACAGAATTTTCATCTTTGGGTGAACTATCCCTTTATGTAATGAAACCTTGTTGTAAAGTTTTACAGTATTTCTTTTCTGTTCTTTTCAAGGCAAGTGAAAAAATCCATTCTCTGAGCATAGAGGACTGCCAATGGTGTGACGTCGAGATTTTGCCGCCCACCGTGGCAGAGAAAACCTGGTTAGCGAGCGCAGAGGATCCGAGCTGTTCATTCATAGGCCCTAAAGTCACGCTGCCCTCGTTCCTGACACCATCATACCATACCAACTTCACATACATGTCCTCTGTGCAGCAAGACATGCCTTCAGAGCTGCTGGAGACCCCTGAGACAGAAGCCACAAGACAGGAGTCTGACATCTCAGGCTTTTCAAGTGACTATGTCACTTCTGTAGCCACGAAAACTCAGTTGTGATATCCTATACACACCAAAGTAAGCAATCCAGCACTGTGGATCTTATCACAAAGATGTTCAGATAAGATCAGGGCATCAGGGCCCCTCTTCCTTCTGCAAAAGCTAGTGTTGTGAAATGCGATCTTGCAATGCATGTCACTTGAGATTTTGCAATATCTTTCAGGTACTTTATCTGTGTTTTGCATGTTACGGTAGATCTTTCTGGTCAGAAAGTACAAAATGTTCTCTCTTGTCTTGAGGAACTGGTTGTTATGGTAACACTTCAGGATTAGGTTACCATTATTTGGCCTGGTTTCACAGACAGGGCTTAGATTAAGCCAGGATTAGGACTAAATTCAAGTAAACGTGCCTTAGAAGAAAACATTACTGGTGTGGATCTTGAGACAAAACAATGGCACTGACGTGTTTTATTATGTCAATGTAAGGTGTTCTCAGTTAAGACAGCTCAGACATGCATTTTAGTCTGGACTAGATTTAAATCTGGTCTGTGAAACTGGAGGATTTAATGTTTTTTGTTTGCTTTTTGTTCAACATTTTTAACCTTCAAATGGTCTTCATTTCCTGTTTACACTTTGAGTAATTGTACAAAAAATATACATTTTTAATCATACAAATAATATATCATTTTTTTTGTTTACTTCTCATCTATTCATTAATGCTGTGTTTTTGGAGATATAAAGTACTTTTGTATCCATATACCCAGTGGTGGACGAAGTACTGAATCTCAGTACTTAAGTAAAAGTACAAATACCCAGATAAATATTTACTTTAGTAAAAGTAGAAGTAACACAATGACAACCATACTTAAGTAAGAAGTAAAAAGTACTTTATTTTAAATGTACTTGTAAGTATTAAAAGTAAAAGTACTTGCATAACAATTGATTCTCTTAATGACTATTTTCTAATGATTAATAAAACAATTAATTCTAACTCATTCAACTTAATACTCCTATAATGATGTTCAATAATGATGGAAAAAAATGTCACCATTTCTGAAACAAGCTTGCAATTAGGCAATATCATGCTTATCCTTACTATATGTTAATATGTTTGGCAGTAAACGCGATTCATTTATGGTGTAATTCTGAACCTCTTGGCTTGCCATAATCCTAACCAAACATATATTACACACGGTGTGTTTCCTATGCACGTAAAAACACATTTTCGTGTATGAGTTGCACGATAAACACACTGCGTGTGAGACGCATTTAGTGTGACCGGGTTGATATACTGTATCTATGGCAACCAAACGTCACTGGTGAGACAAACGTGCAACGAACGGACGGTCAGATTACGTTTTGGCAGTGGAAAAACTGATCAGAAAATGTAAAAAGTATAATAATTGCTGCAAAATGTAACGATGTAAAAGTAAAAAGTATGCACTATTTATTCTACTTAAGTAAAGTAAAGATACGTGAAAAATGTACTTAAGTAAAGTAACGAAGTATTTGTACTTCGTTACATTCCACCACTGCTTATACCACACAATTCCTCAACTACACCATTAGCTTGCATATGAAATATTATTTTATGATACATTGGAATTATGCTCTAATACTAGGCCTTCATTTCTGTGTAAAAATTTTCAGATTTATGACAGATTTTTGCATGAAGAAAATATATTTAGTTTTTTTTTCACATTTCCCATTCATTTCAATGTGGGGTCATACTGACCCCGAAGACCAGAAGTGTAAACATTTTTTTTTTTTACATACCTTCAGAACAACCGAATCAAGCCCAGTTTGTGTGTATATAGACAGATAACATGAAAAGTCAAACAATCTTATTCCACAGAGATTTTAATTAAATAAAAGTTGATTGACCCGATTGAGGGTTAAAGGAACTTCTTATGCTGACTTATTTGATAAATACAGTAAAATTGCAAAATATTATTACAATATTCTAAATTACATTTGAATATTTTAAAATGTATTTTATTCTTGTGATCAAAGCTGAATTGTCAGCATCATTACTTCAGTCTTCAGCGTCACATGATCCTTCAGAAATCATTCTAATGATGGATGATTTTCTACTTTCTTATTATCAATGTTGAAAACTGTTGTGCGGCTTTATATATTTGTAGATAAAATATATTATTGTGTTCATGATTCTTTGATGAATAGAAAGTTTAAAAGCATCAATTTGAACTTGTCTCAATGTTATTAATGTCTTTACTGTCTACATTTAATTTGTCCTTTCTGACTCACTGAACAGTAGTGCGTGTAAAATTAACATTAACCAAGATTAATAAACGCTGTTTCATGCATATAATATTGCTGTTTTTAAGTATTGTTCATTGTTAGTTCAAGATGCATTCCCTAATGTTACCAAATCATTTCTGGTATATTTGACTATATTAACAATCTTAGCTTTCCATATGAAATCCACGATATTGAGACATCGTGCCCCGAGGAAAGTGCCCCGAACACATACTCAAACGACACAGATGCACTTTCTCTCTTTAATTATACATCATCCCTTTGATAAGACTAAGATTTTTCCAGAGCTCAAAGTGCCCCAAAAAACACACTGTACACACTTTACAAGGGAAAACACAACTCAGGCAAAACAAAATAACTCCTTTAAATTACACCGTATCTTGCAAAGTCATCTTTTAGGAAAAATATAAATATATTTTTTTTCATTACTTTTCTGTCTCACGCCACTATGGTACAGATCCAGAGCACAGGCAAAAGCCATGGCACTCTCTTCAGCCAATCAAATCGAAGGCAGTAGCAGCAGCGCTGGGACACGACGTGACGGGACACGCGTATTAACAAAAGGTCTTGCAGTTAATAAATAAGCAACTGGATTTGTGTCAATTCAGCATGCAATCTAAACATCATTTTGGGAGAACAGGAAAGATGGATCAGTGCTTTGAACATCAAGAACATCAATAAAAACACAAATGGTTAACTACGAGACTGGGAAACTGGAAATTGGTCGAACATTTGAGCAGCTCTGTGTCCAACGGTTCAGTGCGGGTTCACGTTCAAGGGAACACTGGGAGTCAATGCATTTAAAAGACGCAATGAGAAAGGAAACGACGACATATACAACAATACTTGAGCTCTTTCTAAAGCAGTGCTTTGAGCTTAAAGGACTATATTTTTTTTGGTACGACAAGTTACACTTTCATGAATCGCATTGGTGGCATGTTGGCGATCACACCAGAAAATCATTTCGACCATAGACTTGAGTAACAAACAAATACATAAAATACAGTTTGTCTGTTTATAACGTGACATTAAGACTGATTTTTAGGACTGATATTTTGCATTGTGACACTGACATGACAATTAAGCACGTTTTGATTCTAGAAAAAGGAAATTCCCATTACTATATATATTTTTTTTTAAATTAAATCAGCACCAGGGACTAACACAAATGTATTTTTATAATATTTTTGCCTCATTACAGACAAAAGAATTTAGAAGGGAAATAAATGTGCTTCGTTTTCATTTAACGTTCAGAATGCAAATATATATATTGAAATAAAGAAAATTAAACCTGACTATTATTTTACATTGTGATATTATTGTCATGACAATTAAGCACATTTTGCTTCCAGAAAGATTTAAATCCCGTTTAAATTACAATTATTATTATTACTACTGTCATATATATATAAAAATATATGTACTTTAACAAAAATAATAAACTAGCATCAAGGCAGTACAAAAATACTACAATGATGTATATAAATGAAGAGTTCAGATGCAAACGCCTCTAAATGCCATTTGAAATTTTCTTCTTTAATGATGATTTTTATCAAACTTGTATATTTAAGTTCAGTAATTTCACTTAAATAACAATTAATAGGTAATTATCATTGCCATTTAAGTGAAATTACTGAACTTAAATATTCAAGTTTGATAAAAATCATCATTAAAGAAGAAAATTTCAAATGGCATTTAGAGGCTTTTGCATCTGAACTCTTCAAATATTGTTACCAATTAATTTGTCGTCACGTTAGAGTTGTGTGAATTAGGAAGGGAAATTTGCTTAGTTGTCATGAAAATTTCAGAATGCAATAATTTAATAAAAAAATAAACGTATATATTCTGCATAACGATTCATTTGACAATTCAGCACATTTAGCTCCCCCAAAAAACCAAATCCTATTGAAATTTCCATTATTCTCAAGTGATTTTCATTACTGTAATACAAAGCAAAAAATTAAATCAGCAATAAACAAAAAATACTAAGATAATGTGCATAATTATTTTACAAACTATTTTTTTTTTTTCAGATCACAATCATAATTTGTAATAGGAAATGTGCTTAATTGTCACGTAAATATGAATGGTCCTAAAATAGGCTTTTTCTTGACCAGAGATTCACTATTTTGTACAAAAACACACTTACATTGGAAATCAACGCAGTCGAACTGTTCACACACACTCTTACTATAGTAATCAATACTATGCCAAAGGTTCGGTACATCGCACATAAGTTGTACTGAATTTAGGATATTCCTTCAGAGGTACTTGATATGATACCATGCGTGATTATGTGTATCTGGTATTTCCTGTAGGTCAAACTAAACGCCGATTACAATCAGATCAGATCAGAGACGAGACCACAGCACTGAACCGGTATAGTAAGATATGAAGAATGAGACCGTTTTACGCTGTTCGTCCGATCCAAATAATTGGGTTGAATCTCACTTGACTCCAAAATCCGCAATTATTGTTTTGGACCATTACGATCCTTTGTATTATGACACAATTTGATAATAATCAAGCACGTTTCTCACATAATTCAGCTTCATAATATTGAGAAATGACCTGCACATGACAGCTTTCATGAGATTCACTCCACTATTATCATTCAAAGCAGATCTGTGAAGGAGTATGTGTGTGTATCAGTGCTCACATGCTCTTTTCTTGCATTTTATTGGAGGATAATTTCCTGCAGGAGTATTTCTGAGAGGTTTGCGGATGACAAGATATCAAAAAAAAAAAAAAAAGCGTGACGCTGAGGATCGAATGTCCGAAACCACGCTTTTTTTCCCCAAAACACTGAATTCTGATTGTCTGGAGGTCATAAAAAAATCCCAACATGCATACAAAAGAAAAAAATTAATAAATAGTACAAATGTAATTCTCTCACTTCTGGAAGTCCTAAATTCATATAGTCAAAGCATTTGCACTCAATCCAAAGCCGTCACAGAATTCTTTGTAGTGTTTAGGTGATATGTTGAAACATTGGCATGGCAGTAATATGTACACACACACACACACACACCAGTGCAGAGAGACGTTTTGCTCGTCGGTGCATCCAGCGCTCTTAAAGTGTCAACAGCATTTTTTTCTTTATTAAAAACGAGTCTTTGTGATGTTTTGTTTCCGGGTCACCTGTTTCACAGTCTGAAGACGTCATTTGGTAAACTGTTCCTCGTTCAGAAACACGGTCTGAAGTCCAGGGCTCGTTTGAGTGTTCCTTCCTCTCCTCCGTCCGTATGGGAG